TTAGCCCATTCTAGCCCATTCTACGTAACTTCTTACTTGTACCTTTAAAGTTCAAGATCATAACTTCAATCCCCTTGACCTTTCATTGCGAGATACTTCTGCAGGTTTTTATTAGTTGGCCCCGGTCTTATGGTTGACACCTGACCTTTTCCACCTCCGGCGAATCCTCTCTTGTTGTTATCTTGTTCTGTGGCAGCGTAGTCTTGCGGTACAAAACACAGATACAGTGGGGGAAAAAAGTATTTAGTCAGCCACCAATTGTGCAAGTTCTCCCACTGAAAAAGATGAGAGAGGCCTGTAATTTTCATCATAGGTACACGTCAACTATGACAGACAAAATTAGATTTTTTTTTCCAGAAAATCACATTGTAGGATTTTTTATGAATTTATTTGCAAATTATGGTGGAAAATAAGTATTTGGTCAATAAGAAAAGTTTCTCAATACTTTGTTATATACCCTTTGTTGGCAATGACACAGGTCAAATGTTTTCTGTAAGTCTTCACAAGGTTTTCACACACTGTTGCTGGTATTTAGGCCCATTCCTCCATGCAGATCTCCTCTAGAGCAGTGATGTTTTGGGGCTGTCGCTGGGCAACACGGACTTTCAACTCCCTCCAAAGATTTTCTATGGGGGTGAGATCTGGAGACTGGCTAGGCCACTCCAGGACCTTGAAATGCTTCTTACGAAGCCACTCCTTCGTTGCCTGGGCGGTGTGTTTGGGATCATTGTCATGCTGAAAGACCCAGCCACGTTTCATCTTCAATGCCCTTGCTGATGGAAGGAGGTTTTCACTCAAAATCTCACGATACATGGCCCTATTCATTCTTTCCTTTACACGGATCAGTCGTCCTGGTCCCTTTGCAGAAAAACAGCCCCAAAGCATGATGTTTCCACCCCCATGCTTCACAGTAGGTATGGTGTTCTTTGGATGCAACTCAGCATTCTTTGTCCTCCAAACACGACGGGTTGAGTTTTTACCAAAAAGTTATATTTTGGTTTCATCTGACCATATGACATTCTCCCAATCCTCTTCTGGATCATCCAAATGCACTCTAGCAAACTTCAGATGGGCCTGGACATGTACTGGCTTAAGCAGAGGGACACGTCTTGCACTGCAGGATTTGAGTCCCTGTCGGCGTAGTGTGTTACTGATGGTAGGCTTTGTTACTTTGGTCCCAGCTCTCTGCAGGTCATTCACTAGGTCCCCCCGTGTGGTTCTGGGAGTTTTGCTCACTGTTCTTGTGATCATTTTGACCCCACGGGGTGAGATCTTGCGTGGAGCCCAGATCGAGGGAGATTATCAGTGGTCTTGTTGTGTCTTCCATTTCCTAATAATTGCTCCCACAGTTGATTTCTTCAAACCAAGCTGCTTACCTATTGCAGATTCAGTCTTCCCAGCCTGGTGCAGGTCTACAATTTTGTTTCTGGTGTCCTTTGACAGCTCTTTGGTCTTGGCCAAGTGGCATTTGGGGTGACTATTTGTTTGCCAGGTTGTTTTTATGCATCAAACTCCATATCAATAGTTCATATGAAAACAAAGATTGGAGAGACTACAAATACCTTTGGAATTATTTTCATTGGCCACATATGCAGTATCATTTCACATCTACACTGAACAAAAATATAAACGCAACATGTAAAGGGTTGGTCCCATGTTTCATGAGCTGAAATAAAAGATCCCAGAAATGTTCCATACGCACAAAAAGCTTATTTCTCTAAAATGTTGTGCACAAATTAGTTTACATCCCTGTTGGTGAGCATTTCTCCTTTACCAAGATAATCCATCCACCTGACAGGTTGGCATATTTAGAAGCTGATTAAACAGCATGATCATTACACAGGTGCACCTTGTGCTGGGGACAATAAAAGGCCACTCTAAAATGTGCAGTTTTGTCACACAACACAATGCCACAGATGTCTCAAGTTTTGAGGGAGAGTGCAATTGGCATGCTGACCGTAGGAATGTCCACCAGAGTTGTTGACAGAGAAATTGATGTTAATTTCTCTACCATAAACCACCTCCAACGTCGTTTTAGAGAATTTGGCAGTATGTCCATCCGGCCTCACAACTGCAGACCACGTGTATGGCGTTGTGTGGGCGAGCGGTTTGCTGATGTCAACGTTGTGAACAGAGTGCCCCATGGTGACGGTGGGGTTATGGTATGGTCAGGCATAAGCTACGGACAATGAACACAATTGCATTTTATCGATGGCAATTTGAATGCACAGAGATACCGTGACGAGATCCTGAGGCCCATTGTCGTGCCATTCATCCGCCGCCATCACCTCATGTTTCAGGATGATAATGCATGGCCCCATGTTGTAAGGATCTGTACACAATTCCTGGAAACTGAAAATGTCCCAGTTCTTCCATGGCCTGCATACTCAACAGACATGTCACCCATTGAGCATGTTTGGGATGCTCTGGATCGACGTGTATGACAGCGTGTTCCAGTTCCCGCCAATATCCAGCAACTTCGCACAGCCATTGAAGAGGAGTTCCACAGGCCACAATCAACAGCCTGATCAACTCTATGCAAAGGAGATGTGTCGCGCTGCATGAGGCAAATGGTGGTCACACCAGATACAGTACTGACTGGTTTTCTGATCCATGCCCCTACCTTTTGTTTATCTGTGACCAACAGATGCATATCTGTATTCCCAGTCACGTGAAATCCATAGATTACGGCCTAATGAATTCATTTCAATTTACTGATTTCCTTATATGAACTGTAACTCAGTGAAATCGTTGAAATTGTTGCATGTTGCATTTATATTTTTGTTTAGTGTATGTCAATCAACGTAGATAATTATATGTTGATTGTTCTATAACCGAAAAAAATGTATGCACTCACTAACTGTAAGTCGCTCTGGATATGAGCGTCTGCTAAATGACTAAAATGTAAAAATGTAAAATTACTGTTTGGTAAATTACTCATAAACAAGTCTGATGCATACAAACTGTCTGAATTGCTTTTAATGACAAGCTCTCAATGGATTTCAGTTGTAACTAAGTGTGTTTTATTTTGCTGTACAGGAGGAAAACTCAGCCTTGGCCATGGAGAATGAGAGCCAGAGGGAGCAGTATGAGCACTGTCTGGATGAGGTGAGTAGTCCAACCCTCACTCTATTCACCCAGCCCTGAACCTCAGTGAGGGAATCCTATTTTTCACCACACTAATGATAGCCTACATTTGACATTTATCCAGAGCGACTTACAATTAGTGAGTGCATACATTTTTCATACTGGCCCACCGTATGAAAAACAAGTGTTATTTTCTGTTCTTTCCTATTCGGTGACTTATTATGAGTTGTATTCTTTTCTAGCTACCTTTAGCGACGTTCTCTAAGATCTCACTGACGGTATTGATCAAACAGGTTACAAACACTGCACTATTTTCCAGTATCCTTCTCTACCTTTACTGACTTTCTTTGAGATCTTTCTCAATGCACAATTGTCCTGCTGTCAAATTCTATCAATGCAATTCCAAAGTAATTCCTCTCCAAAGGAAATGTGATTATGGAGAAAGAGGTACATGGCGTTCCGAAGGTGAACTGTGTTGTGGGAGAAGCTGGGTAAAGGGTGGCTTGAGGGATCCGAATGACAGCAATTAATGAGCTTGTTGGCTCGGCCCGCACGCTGAGTCACCCTGAGGGAAGGCTGGAGGCCCATGGGTGCCAGAAGGGACAGACTGGTTTAATACACTGTGGTGCCAGCTACTGGGGCTTATATGACCTGAAATCTGGGCTCTGGTGCCAGAGGGGGTGGGGAGGGGGGAGACGTAGATGGATGGTGGGACAGAGAAAGACCGAGAGAATGAAAGAAAGAAAAGGAGAAAGAAAGAGAGAGAAAGGGATAGAGAGATGAAAGGAGAGTTAGCAATACTTTAGCTCTGTTGTTAACAGTCCAACCGTGGTAGGCAATTGCTTTGCAATGCTCCAAGCATACTGTATGAAACTCTACACCGTGCTGTAGCCTTGGAGGTTAACGCCTGGGGTGGGCCCAGACCAAATCCCTTTTCCACTTCCGTGCCCTCAAAAAGCCAGAGCTGTTCTGTTGTCTGGTCTGGTGTTGTGTTGCCCTCTGTGGGCTCTTCTGACGGGAGCTAGCTCACTAATGAGCATGTTGTGATGTGGGAGTCTCCACAGCTCTAACAACTCTGCCGATGGGCTCAGGGCCATTGGAAACTGTAGAGAACGCAGGGACTTGTTTCGTAATGATACAAAAATAAAATAAAAACATTGTGGAAAATTATCTCTATATAAGAAGAGTGGTGGTTGTTTGGTATGCTATTTGGGCTGGCCACTCACGTTAGGATATTTTTTAGGGTTCCACTTGGTAAACATGGGCAAATGTCATGCTATTGAAAGGCTGGTAAAAGGAGTCATGCCACAAGTTGCAATGCATCAGATGTAATGGACTGTTATGCCATGACTTGAACTATGAATGCTCTATAAAGCCTTTATAAGTTGTTGTTTCATTTATCAGTTGTTGTAATTTAGATTTTAACTTGAAAATCATTAAATATTCTTGGAATTAGTGCCCTTCAGTTTTACAGGAGCAGCTCTGTATCACTCCCCACAGGGCTCAATGACTTCATCATATCTCCCGTTATTCAATAGAGGGAGAGAGGACACCTCTGAGAAAAAGCAAATGAATGCTTACAGTGAATTAACGAGCAATCAATGGGCTGTAATCAGAGTAGGAGTCGATGGGGCATTGCGGTCTAAACTCAGAGAGTGGTAGGGGTGTGAGACACTCTGCGGCCAAAGCCCAGGCACAACAGTGCTTTAGCCCGTCACTTCTTCTCTTAGACTGCCTGCTGTGTCACAAATGACACCCTATTCCCTATATAGTGCACTACTTTGACCAGGGCCCATAGGGTCAAGTGGGAGGGGATAGGGTGCCATTCAGGACACAGTCCCCTACTCTCCAAGCCACTACATCAGCCCTGACACTGCTGTCAATACTGGATCAACAGAAGACAATTAAACATCATGAAGACATGCAGCGCGTCAGGCTCCAAACTGTTCTGCTTCACCGGGCCGCTACTGGCCTTCTCTGCCACCCTGCGTCAGATGTATGATGATTGGGCCCATTAGGAATCAACACACTCCTCCAAGGGAAGGCAGACGGGGGGACAATGCTGTAATGTATTGGGACATCGTGTTCACTAAAGCCTGTAATAATTTTGTAAGCGGTCGGAGTGAGATAGTGCAGCGTCGGCATGCACAGGGCAGGGGCAGTTTAGAGTTGAGGACGTGGGTCAATTGGGACCATTTTCTTTCTTTCTTTCTTTCGTTCTTTCTTTCTTTCTTTCTTTCTTTCTTTCTTTCTTTCTTTCTTTCTTTCTTTCTTTCTTTCTTTCTTTCTTTCTTTCTTTCTTTCTTTCTTTCTTTCTTTCTTTCTTTCTTTCTTTCTTTCTTTCTTTCTTTCTTTCTTTCTTTCTTTCTTTCTCATCATGGGTGCCATAACAGCCACCATATTATAGTCAGTCACTAAACAGCTTGCATAAAACGTTTGGATAATTCTTGTTTATTTTTTTTCACTCTGTTTTAGGTTGCCAATCAAGTTGTGCAGGCACTGCTCACACAAAAGGTAGGAGTCTGGTTTCCATAGCAACTGTGGGATAAAAATGTCTCAGAATGAGACTATTATTAGATCCAATTATGTTGTTAGACATGTATGCAATACAGTAGCTCAAAACTTAATCTTAACATTCACTTTTTGTGAGACACTTCTCACTATCTTCTGTTAACTAATCAACTTTTATGGTGTCCATATTAGGACAGTCACACATGACTGGAAGTTCACACCTCTGTTTGTAATAACTCTCTCTCTCTGTTGTTCTTCCCCATGCAGGATCTGAGGGAGGAGTGTCTGAAGTTGCGGACCAGAGTGTTTGACCTGGAGCAACAAAACCGGACCATGAGTGTCCTCTTCCAGCAGCGAGTCCGACCCGCATCAGACCTGCTCCTGCAGGTAGGGACCTGTCCACTCATCTAGTCCCAGAACCACTATAGAACCTCCTTGTCCCAGAACAACTACAGAACCTCATTGTCCCAGAACCATTATAGAACCTAATTTTCCCAGAACCAGTATAGAACCTCATTGTCCCAGAACCCGTATAGAACCTAATTGTCCCAGAACCCGTGTAGAACTTCATTACCCCAGAACCACTATAGAACCTCATTGCCCAGAACCACTATAGAACCTCATTGTCCCAGAACCACGATAGAACCCTACAGAGCAACTATTGACCATGACTCAGAGGTGCCCGACTGATGGAGTTAAAATAGCATTTCACTGTTATTAGTTTCAGTATTAGAACTATGTTGTTTCTTGTATTCAATATTGTTGAAGGCAACAGTGTGGGTGTAAGGACAATTTGCTCACTTCAAACTTCTGAAGAGCAGCGATATTAGATCATCCATCTTTTTGTGATGGCGATGTGATCCTGAGTCCGGGGTCTGTGATATCATCATCACTAAAAAACTATGTGCTCATGAACCATCCAGCCTCTACGGGGCTGCGGGGCTCAGACAAGATCATTTGAGAAAGTACCCAGACTCGCGTCATCCATCCTGGGCTCTCTCGGGGGACGGTAAACCTCTCAACCAAATTACCTCTAGCGCACCAGACCTTGTGGCACGTTACACAGATATAGATGCTAGAGAGAGGAGGGGGGGTGGGTGTGTGCCCGTGTGTGTGTGTAGTCTGCCGTGAGTAGGAATGCACACTTACTGTAACTCTCAGAAATAATTTACTCCAGTCACTGCAGAGAGAGACAGAGAGAGAAATATTGACAACAATGTCTGCTATAAAATGGCCTCATGGATTTTCCTTAATCTCATTTCCCGCAATGGCCGTCCAGCTCTCGTTACCTTAACTCCTTTCAGAGTGGTGGGTGGAGGCTCTCAGACTGCCACAGTGTAAGGGAGGGAGATGTGGGGTGTGAGAGTGAGCACAGGGGGATGGGGTACATGGGACCAGGGCACAGACAGATAATGAAACTCAGACTGGTCTTAATGAGAACATGTGGCACAGAAAGGATGGATGAGAGGAGCTCAGGGGAGAGCTGAGTGCAGGTACTATACAAGTCAACACATCCAGGTACAGAAACAAAGAAAGTTATAGTTGAAGAATAACTTTTTTTATTGTTGACAAAATCTGAAAAACAAAAGCCTCCAGCACATTGGTATTCTTGAATAGTCCACAGACCATTTTAATGGATCTCATTTAAGCAATGTTTCGATCAATAGACCTTCATCCCAGTTTGTTCAGTTGTTGACAAAATATATAAATGAGAATGGCAAAGAGCGCGCTGACGACAATCCTTTATCTACTTCAAGTTCAGGAGAGAGTATGCCCTCTGTCAGTCGCCCTCTGCTAGCAACTGATGTGGACATATGGATAATTGAAAGTCACAGTCCACATTGTCCAGTGAAGGGTGCAATTTTGTGGTGGAAGGGAGGCATTTTCATCGTCCCAACAGATTGAGCAAAGCTGTGGATGCACTATTTTTCTCCCAACTAAACCAGGGCATGGATAAAGTGAAATGTGTAATTGTTTATTAACTATTTGTAACTATTTAATAATATTTAGATTTAATAAACCAATATGTATGTTCCGGTTATAAGAGTAAATGTTAGCGTATTCAGTCTTTTCAGTAGAGCATTTGTTTTCAATATACAATGTGATCAACAGGACTTTGAAGAGAGCAATATACCGTACATCTATTTGCTTGTGTAGCAGGAGCCTCGGTCTATGTCCCAAATGGCATCCTATTCCCTGTATAGTGCACTACTTTTGACCAGAGCCCATAGCGCTCTGGTCAAAAGAAGTGCACTATGTAGAAAATAGGGTACCACTTGGGACACAGCCTCTGGCTTTTCACAAGGGAGTATGCCAGGAATGAGGATTTGTAGCAAGACACTTTTTCAGCGGTGAGGAAGTGAGATTTTATTGTGTAGGAGGCGGAGAGATTTGAAAGATTTATTTCCAACTTTATGTCCAACTGATGTCTGCCAGCATATTAAACAACAAGAAAATAATTGACAGTTGTGTAAGCGATAGCTAAATCATACGTTATAGGATGCTCTTTTGTATTTTTACATTGATTCCTCGAACAGTCATTCATTTTATTGAAAAGCTCATGATTCTTTCACGGTTGTGGTTTTGTCAATATGTTTCAGGTTGTAAACCTTGTTTCTGTTTCTGAAATTAATTTCTCTATAAAGGTGGCTGTGACAAAGGTGACTAGTAATACAAGTGCTGAAAGAGTATATGATTGATTGAGTCAATTAAAACATGGGTTTGAAATCAGTATGCTCAACCCTTTCCCCTGCTACTTATTGTGGATAATTTCTCTTGAAGTAGCCTAATATTTTGCCCTCTAAAATGGCTGCGGGTAACCTTCTGGTTTGCATGAATTACCTTTATACCATAACCTACCATCAAATAATCATTAGCGACAGTAGAGCTACACTTATTAATATTTCCTTTCAGTCAGAGAGTGTCAGGTGTTTGGCTGTTTTTATCACCCGCATTGGTATTTAATTTCTACTGTTCTGGGAGTCGGTAATTAAATGTGTTATTGGCCCCTGGGGCCATCTTGAATTTCCCTGATAACAAATCACTGCTCTCTATTGAGATTGTGATTAGGAATACTGGGAATATGCTTGACCTACTGTCGCTTCATGTAATGTGGCATTTCATACGCTTCAAGGCTCTGTTTGCTGCAGTTCGGCCAGGTGTTTAGTAAGGTGTGTAAGTAGTGAATAATAATTCCCTCCTTCCACTTATGCAGCCTTATCAAAAGTGACAGGCGAGTGGTAATTGAGTTGTCAATTATCCGTAAAAGTAGGTTCTGGTTACCGTGGAAACTTCCCAGGCCCCTCCGGCAGGACATAGTAGCTACGCAGTACCATTCAGTCATTTTTGCCGTCTGAATTTTGATGGACTTTTGCACTATGGTTCCCCTCAGTGTTGCCTTTGCTGGGGTTTTGTTAACTGCATTGTCTGTACAGTATTCCTATTCTGGTTAATTTCTCAGTGTAGTACAAGACACATGTTTTGTCATAGCTTAGCCAATTCACTGCTATACGTTACCTGTATCCTCTGACTAAGGGAAGACCAAGCCTTGAGTGCAGCATCAAACGTAGATCAGGTAATAGGCAGTAACAGAGAAGGTGAACTCCCTCAGTGCGCCTCCGTCCTTGGTTAGATCACACTTCCACACGGTCAGGTACAGTGAGGCTAGGCTAGCCCGGAGAGACACAGAGATGGGGGAGCTGTCCGCCCCCATGTCCCCCTCCCTCTCCACACCCCTCCCCATCAGGGGCCTTGTGACACTATTGACTGAATCATTGATGACTGTGCTGAGGAGGTGTAATCCTGCACCCCTACGATAACATCAGCCCCCCCTTCTCTTCTCCTGACACTCAACCACTCCCATCCCCCTGTGTGGACAGCCTATACCCTGGAGAGGAGCGATATGGCTTCAGAGAGAAATACATTTATATTATGGGCTTTATGGTGAGAGAGACGCCATCTGGCATGTAAAGTCCACTGTAAAGGACAACCTGGACTGAGTCAGCTACAGGGGAAGAATTCTCATCTACATATAAACTGTAGGTCATAATGGCAAGTTAAGCGGTATTCAAGAAAATACTTGGTTTAGAACAACCTGTAGTAGGTATATTTTGCTCCATTAATTCACAGTAATGTACATGATATGAATATGATATGCATATTCAACTACAAATAAGCAAAACATGTGATTTAAACCTTTTCATTTAATTGCTGTCACTTACCTTTAATTCTCAATTTTAAGTCTTTGCATAAATGTGTAAGCAATAAACAATAATATATTTTATATAAAAATGTGATTATACCTAACAAACAAATGTAAAACTATTTAGCATCAAATGTGCATCAACTGTGCAAAAAAGTATTAAATAAAATCGATTAGTCTCAACATGCTGTTTATATACTGTACTACGTTCCCATTTAATCCAGTTTAAACAGCTCTATCATTATTTCTATATTTCATAAATTAACTCACGATGGAGAACAAGAGAGCACATCGAGTCTAATCCTTTTCCACATCCCCATCGATCGCGACCGCTCTTGACCAAATCGACTTGGACCAAGTTATAAAATATGGAGCATTCCACCGAGATGACCTCAAAGGTTCAGAATTTCCCAAAAATAGTCCAACTAGACTATCTGCTGTGAAAGAGAGTATTGATGCCATATCCCTCCAGGTCCCTGCTAGCACACAATATGCTGTACAATACTACAGAACCAGACAAGATGTAATGAGAGCATTACATGGTCACCATTTATGAAAATAAAATAAAATATATACTGTCGAAATTGAGTGTATTCATTTGAAACAATTAAAAAAAAAACGTTTTTCTCCAGTTGCTGCAGATATACAGCACTGCACGATGGGTTGAGAAATTTCAACTCAATTGAAATTGCACATACTCACACACACAGACACACACACACGTTTTGTTCTTCTATCCTCATGGGGATGTAACATTGATTTCCTTTTATAATCCTATTTTCCCTTAACCCTTACCCTTACCCTAACCCTAATTGTAAACCTAACCCTAAACTAAACCCCTAAACTTAAAATAGCCTTTGTCCTCATGGGGGAGAATATTCCTCATTTTACTATCCTTGAGGGGACTTAATGGGATTTTAGGTCCCTACAAGGTTAGAAGAACCAACCCCCCCCCCCACACACACACACACACACACGCATCAAAATACTAACCAATTACTTGTACAAAAAGCCATTGGAAATCAATATCATTTAATTCATTGGAATATTGCCATTATAGCCTATCATTGTTTAGCTGGTCTGTAGGATAGAGTCACAGTGTCCCCTTAAGCTCAGTCTAAATGGGGCTGAGATTACGGAAAGAGAAACAAGAGGGAGGATTCATTTGGCACTCTAGGGAGATAAAGTGATCATCTAAATGTGATTTATTTCACATCTCCAGTTTACATCCATGTTCCCTTAAACTAGTTCCAATTTGCACTAATTTGCACATATAAAGTGCCTTCAGAAAGTATTAAGACGCCTTGACTTTTTTCACATTTTGTTACGGTACAGCCTTATTCTAAAATGTATTAAATTGTGTTTTTTTTCTCATCAATCTACATTTTACATTTTAGTCATTTAGCAGACGCTCTTATCCAGAGTGACTTACAGGAGCAATTAGGGTTAAGTGCCTTGCTTAAGGGCACATCGACAGATTTTTCACCTAGTCGGCTCGGGGATTAGAACCAGCAACCTTTCGGTTACTGACACAACGCTCTTACCCACTAAGCTACCTGCCGCCCCACAATCTACACACAATACCCCAAAATGACGAAGCAACAATGGGTTTTTAGACATTTTTGCTAATTTATTACAAATAAAAAACGGAAATATCACATTTACATAAGTATTCAGACCCTTTACTCAGTAATGTGTTAAAGCACCTTTAGCAGCGATTACAGCATTGAGTCTTCTTGGGTATGACGCTACAAGCTTGGCACACCTGTATTTGGGGAGTTTCTCCCATTCTTCCCTGCAGATCCTCTCAAGCTCTGTCAGGTTGGATGGGGAGCGATGCTGCACAGCTATTTTCAGGTCTCTCCAGAGATGTTCGATCGGGTTCAAGTCCGGGCTCTGGCTGGACCACTCAAGGACATTCAGAGACTTGTCCCGAAGCCACTCCTGCGTTGTCTTGGCTGTGTGCTTAGGGTTGTTGTCCTGTTGGAATGTGACCCTTTGCCCCAGTCTGAGTTCCTGAGCGCTCTGGAGCAGGTTTTCATCAAGGATCTCTCTGTACTTTGCTCCGTTCATCTTTCCCTCGATCCTGACTAGTCTCCCAGTCCCTGCCGCTAAAAAACATCCCCACAGCATGATGCTGCCACCACCATGCTTCTCCGTAGCGATGGTGCCAGGTTTCTTCCAGACGTGACGCTTGGCATTCAGGTCAAAGAGTTCAATTTTGGTTTCATCAGACCAGAGCATCCTGTTTCTCATGGTCTGAGAGTCTTTAGGTGCCTTTGGCAAACTCCAAGAGGGCTGTCATGTGCCTTTTACTGAGGAGTGGCTTCCATATGGCTCTTTACTATAAAGGATTGATTGGTGGAGCGCTGTAGAGATGGTTGTCCTTCTGGAAGGTTCTCCCATCTCCACAGAGGAACTCTAGAGCTCTGTCAGAGTGACCATCAGGTTCTTGGTCACCTCCCTGACCAAGGCCCTTCTCCCCCGATTGCTCAGTTTGTCCGGGCGGCCAGCTCTAGGAAGAGTCTTGGTGGTTCCAAACTTCTTCCATTTAAGAATGATGGAGGCCACTGTGTTCTTGGGGACCTTCAATGCTGCAGACCATTTTTGGTACCCTTCCCCAGATCTGTGCCTCGACACAATCCTGTCTCGGAGCTCTACGGACAATTCCTTCGTCCTCATAGCTTGGTTTTTGCTCTGACATGTACTGTCAACTGTGGCACCTTATATAGACAGGTGTGTGCCTTTCCAAATCATGTCAAATCAATTGAATTTACCACAGATGGACTCCAATCAATTTATAGAAACATCTTGAGGATGATCAATGGAAACAGGATGCACCTGAGCTCAATTTTGAGTCTCATAGCAAAGAGGCTGAATACTTAGGTAAATAAGGTATTTCTGTTTTGAATGTTTAATAAATGTGCAAGCATTTCTACAAACCTGTTTTCGCTTTGGGGTATTGTGTGTAGATTGCTGAGGATTCGTTTTTATTTAATCAATTTTAGAATAAGGCTGTAACGTAACAAAAAAAGTAAAGGGGTCTGAATACCTTCCAAAGGCACTGTAAATGCATCTACAATTAGCAGCACCATTTTGAACTATTTCTATACATTCTCTGTGTTTCGCAGAGGGTGGCTCACACACAAGCAAGCCTTTGCAGCTTTTCAAACTTGATCGATTTAAATTCAATGCATTGAGATTCGATGTCAAGTCAACCAAAATGAATGTGCTTTTATGTCCTTGGAAGTGTTTCTTTAGCCTAAGGAACACCATATGGTGAACATACATGTATTAGCTAGTGTTCTTTCAGCCTACTAAAGCCTCACTTCACATTGCATGATTTGTATTACACTAGTGCAGCAGTCATCACAAATGTTATATAACATATTGAGCCTTATAAGGAAGGAGACATGTAGATACCTGGTAGGTCTATAGGTATCTTTCAGGTGGCCTTGGTTAGTTTCCTGCTTTCAGTGACTATTGATCCTTTGACACTAGTCCATGGATGTTCTGAACACAATGTTCAAGTGGCCATTGTCATTGCCCAAGGCTGGGATTATGAAACCAACGACTAGGATTGCTATCCATCTTATCATGAATACATTTTTTCTTGGAGATTCAAAAGAAAACTGGTTACAAAGGGCTGTCATCCCAAGTAAAAGGAATATGGCTTCCAGAAATATGGTTTCCACCGTAGATGTAAATACAATGCAATAGTGTATCTACATGTATCTCTATGGCTTTCACACTGCGTTTGCAGGAAGGCTTGTTAGCTCGAAGCCTCCGGGACCCCAGGGCTCGGCCGGTGTGTTGATCACTAGCACAGAGACTGATTTCAAGCTTTTCAACTTATTGTCTGGCTCTCTGTTTCTTTGTTGGATAAGTGGACTCATGTAGTGAGCCAGTGTCTTCATGCTAAATGCTATTTTCACCTCGTTACTGTAGCTCTGTCCCTGTTACTCAGTGTAACGGTAGATAGCACAAAATCTCGCATCGGAGTCTCACACTTAAACAGGTGGTAACATGGATGTTTGTATGAAATAATGGATCATGTGATACTATGGTTTGGCCTTGGGCAAGGAGTTTGAGATCAGTGCTTCCTGAATGACACAGCTGTGCAGCGGAGTGTTTACGAGGTGTGAAACTGTTGTTTGATAAACATGTTCTGAGTGTCGTCTGTGATTTAGTAGAGGAGTAGCTTTATACTCAAGCCATCTGGGTAGTCTGAGTAGTAGAACAGAGAAGACGTGAGGTAGAAATTGCATTTCTATTGTTGTACTGAGTAAGAAATGGAGTAACCATATATTACGTTAGGCCTGTATTGTATACCCTCTCCTTGTATTTTTTAATCAGATATACTTTTTTTATGTTAAAGGAACATTGTGGGATGTCGCATGCATCTCCAACTAATGATGTAATGAGATTATGCCAAGCAAATAATCATTTTCATAACTTAAAAATGATTGGGATTAATTGGGTAAAACACTGAAGGAAGACTAAAGCTCATATACCTCACACTAAAAGTTCCACAAGGTGACTCTCACAGCGGCGTGAAATCCTTCTGACGGTTATGTTCATCTACAGTGGGCGTACAGAGCACGGGAAGGAAAGTAAGTGCAGTGTACAGCAATCTGGCAATTGTATTGCATTATCGAGATGGAGAAATTAAAAATAGATATGAGCGCAGCAGAAAATATCCTCCCTAAACGAGCATTAAAGTTGTCCTTGGAGGGGAATGTGGCATAAATGGAGTGTTTTGTTACAGCACGTTTGCCGTTAAGTAGATCCGAGCACGGGGAACCGGGTGGTAATTAGGTTGGAGGATTAATATGTGAAAATGTAGTTGGTTTTGTATCCTTCCCCTATGAACGGAAACCAAAGAAAAGAATGGATCGCAAAATAATGTTTGAATATGAATAAAAAAATCTAAGGAATCCCTCGCTCCCCAATGCAATTAATTCCCATTCACATGAATTATTCTTAACAGATGACAGTAATGACATTGAGTCTAAGACTATTGAAGAGTGCCCTGCTTAGGATCTCAGTGGAGGCAGAAAGAGGGTTACTTTCAAACCCTGGGAAAGTGCAGCTGAACCAAAGCGTTTTTGAGACCTGCTCAAATGTGAATTTTCTTGTTTTCGTTGTGAGATTTTTTTATTGGATCTTTGTATGAAAATGATTTATGTTTGATGGTAGACTTTCTATTGTATATTCATTCATCTACTACTGGAAAGGTGTGATTGATACAGAACACCAATATTAAATGCAAAACAGCATGCAATATAATATAGTTGTTTGATTGCCACATTCTTCTGTTCAGTTGAATGTGTTAAATGCCTTCTCTATGTAGTTGATATATTTCTGTATGTAGTGGAGACGTTCATTAAGACCTTGGCCTTCCTTATCCTTTCAGAAACTCCACTCTCGGATCATGGATTTGTCTGCCGCTGATCTCCTCCTGGAGCCTGAGAGAAGCAAAAGCTTCCTGCTATCCAGGAACACTGACTCTCCACCTCATGTAAGACTGATTGAAAACAAACCAATGGCATATTCTTTTCGCCCCAGCCTTGCCCATATGTATTGTCCAGGCATCATAACTGACGTATAGCCCAGAGAAATCATTCGAGAGGATTAAAATACCAGCCCTAACTATTTGGGGATTTGATCCGCTGTTCTCGGCAAGTCGAGTTGGCAGTATCACTTTGCTCTAAAAGGTATAAATACTTGTCATATTACCAAAGGACCATCGATTGAGGCTCGTATTCAGTAAAAATGAGTCCGCGGGACAGTGTTGTACATTAGTCATCTTATATATTATGTATTAAGGTCTTAAAATGAATTCACTCTGGTCTCATGTCCTTTTACTCCTTGAGGACACAACCTGATAAACCTTCATTTATAGTATAGAAATGTGGCAGAAAAGAAGGAAGTGAATAAGTGATGGTGTAATAATGTTGAAATCTGATAATGTATTCATGTCTTTGCGACAAGATAATGAGTTTGGGAAAAGAAGACGCACAAATGTGATATACTTGCAGTGCAGATCGGGACAGATTTCCTGGGCCAATTAGTTTGCTTCCTATTATCTCTCTGACTGAACAGTTGATTAGAATTCTGAATCGACATTTGTTTGGACAGAATTGTGGAATAGGACTGATGCAGAAAACATCTGTTGGGGAGATTGCTTCTGAAAGTATGATGGATCATGTGTATCTCACTGGCTAATTATAGAGTCGAAGCAGTAGCTATCGTAACACTTTACAGGAATACTGAAAACCCCAGAAAGTGAAAGTACGCACATAAAATATCAGCCACCGGTAAAGCAGTCAACAGAGATGCAAAAAAGCGGTGTGTTTTTGGACAGCCTTGTAAAATGCACCAGTGATTCGATATTGCATAGTCATAGATTCCCTGATTAACAAGCTGAAATATGGTTTGTTAATCAGAGTTTTTGTAGCGTTATCCTGCATCTCTCATAATTTTCTCTACCTTCTCAACCTTAATCCCCTTTATCCAGACTCATGAATGTATGTGGCACTAAATCATGACTAATGGTGTCTTTGAAATCCGTCCTGCAGGATGTCCAACTGAACGGAAAGGCGGGACTTCCTGTGGCCAAGTGTCTGAGCCAGCTGAGTCTGACGGTGCAAGCGCCAGTCTACCCACGCAGCAGCTGTAGCAGCAGCGAGCTGTCCCTGTCTAGTGCCTGCAGTGAATACTCCAGTGGCTCCTACACCTGGAACGACGGACGCTCCTGTGGGAAAATAGTACGATGACCAGACCAACCTCCTCACTCTGTCTCTCTCTATTTTTATTTGTCTCTGTCTCTCTCATTTATAGACTTTATCAATGTGGGGTTTCAATCAGCTTTAAAAATCAATAAAAAATAGACGTAACACATAGCTGAACTAAAATGTCTCTTATGAAGAAATCTGTCTCACCAGATTACACGTTTCACAAACCGAGACCGTGGAAATGTGATATGCAATATTTTAACATTAGCTAAACCTCAATTCACTGGCAGAAACCAATAAAATGAAATTATATAGAATAATAATTAATCAAAGCATTAAATATTTAGCTTGAGCCATACCCCAAAGTGCTTAGTATCTCCATTAGAACATTTGAAAGGGAGTCAAACAAATTGCAGACTGAGTAACAGCTTGACAAAGTAATCATCTGACTCCACAATCAACTCTGTTGTAGAGAATGAGAGTGGGCCACAATCACAAATCCTCTGAGAAGTACTACATGTGCTTGAATGCCCTTATATTCATGCTGGGATTGCTGTTGCACAGCTCAATTTAGCTGACTTTTCGAATGACGTGTCTATGTATTTTCGAATGATGTGTCTGTGTGTCTGTCTCTCAATCACCCACTGTCCTCTCTGAGTTTTCTAATAACTTCTGTCTCTCTGTATTTCTCCTGCAGTCATCTCTGACGTGGGAGAAGAGGTTGAGCCTGGGTTCCTCAGCCCCCGGAAACATCTGCGCCCCCCTGGAGGAGCAGCTCCCAACAAGGAGGAAGGAGAGCCACATCCTAGAAGGCCTGCGGAAGCTCCAGAGGAGAAAACCCAAAGGCTCCTCATCCTCCGGGGTCTCCAAGTCGGGCGACAAGGACTGCATGAACTCTAATGAGGGTATCTACTCTCTGGGGATTAAGAGTGGGAGCAAGGGAATCTCCAAGCCCACTTATGTGGGAAGGACCACTGTCTCAGGGGTGGGGTGCAAAAGGTTTGTGTACGACTCTGACGATGCGGATGACGAGTCACTACATTCGGCGTACTGCAGACGAGACAGCGTCCCCAGTAAGGACGGAGGCTGGATGTACTTCAGGAAGCTGTCGCACAGCGTCTCGGACAGTCTGTGTAGCTGGGACGGGCTGCAGGACAGTGGCGTAGTAGAGGATATTAACTGCAGCATGGGTACGAAGCACCCGTCCGGCTATAACTCCAAGGAGCGGCCGGAAAAACTCAAGAGCTTCATCAACAGTTTCCTCTCTGGGGGACGGACCTCGGCTGTTCTAAACCCCTCCCTGTTGCACTTTGACGTCAGCCCCACAGAGGCTGAATGCCCCCTCCACCTCTCAGACACCGATCCTGAGGATCTGCACTCTGAGGTCAGTGACCACCGGCTGCCTGTTAGCCGGACAGCTGAGCAACTACAGAAGGACATCAAGAGGCTCTCGAGGGATGCTGACAAGCTGCTTCCCGTACATTGCTTGAGGAGGGAACCTGGCCGAACCCAGTCTGCTGACGGAAGACCCAGGCCCTTCTGCCTAATCAAGGAACACAAGGGGGCCAAAACCCAGTCTGAGGAGAGTATCATGTCTATATTCGATGCAGACGGACAGCCCATTGAACTCAGTGCTCAGCAGTCCTCCGTTGGTGCTGGGGCTCGGAAAGAGATTCCTGGGAGGAAGGGGAATGGGGTTGCTGAGTATGCAGCACTGTCGCCTCATGATAGGCCCATTCGTCATAAAGTAGGCAACAATGGAAGGAACTACACTGTACTAGAATCTCCTGAAAAGTGTCATAGTAAGGCTAGCAGCAGAGAAAGCAGCAATAGCAGGGAGGGAAGCCCAGAGAGGCTACAAACGCACGTCATTCCACTGCGGAAATTGATAAAGCCGCCTTCCAATCGATCCAACAAAGGCCAGTCTGTCCCTCCCATGAACAATGCTTCCCCCAGCCTCAAGGCCATCAGCTCAAAGATCCCCAGCAGCCAGGGGAAAGGATCTCCAATTAAGGTTTCTAAGGGCTCCACCACGGAAACCAGCAACAGTGGACCAACCTCAGGTTTCACAGCTCAGGAGTCAAAGTCCCCTTCTTCTCCTCCGGTCAAGATGTCCAGGTTCATCAAAGCTCCAGGCTGCACTACAAGCCCCAAGGCAGTGAGCAACAAGCTTCCAGGCAGGAATGACTGGACAAAGGGCTCCTCATCTAGTGTTCCAACCGGCTCCCCACACTTCCCAAGAAGGCATTTGGACCACATGGACTACAGGGAACAGCCTACCAGAGACAGACACTGTGAAGCCAGCAGCAAAACTGAACTCAGGTCCCCGTCTCCTCCCCTGCCCCCTGGCCGCACCACCTCCTTACTTATCAGACCAAACTACGATGGGTCACCTCAAGCACTTAAACCAGGGGCACAACCATCCACGCCTACAACTGTGAGGGGGCCACCCCCGAGTTACCACCCCCCGCCTGTACCAAATATGCAACATTCATTACCACCACCACCCTACAAGGGCCAAGATACCATAGACCTGGACGCAGGCTACGGTACCGCAATCGCACCTCAGAAACTGTTGGACAAATCGAGCCAGCAGCACCCTGCTTCAAATGAGACCCCCTCTAAAGGCACTTCGAAACGGGTCCCCACAAAACTCTACCTCCCCTCCTCAGCCTCAGGGCATGTGCCTGATCACCCTGTAAATGCACCTAAAAGCTCAAAGAATGTCCCTCCTCCCTCATACAACTCTCAACGTGGCTCTTCGCTTCAAAGCACATTTACTAGTAAGAAAGGTACCAATGACAATAGGCATCCTATGTTGTATAAGACCTCTAGTAGTTTTCCTGTAACTCTGCAGGGCCACCCTCAGTCTCCAACAGAACCTCACGGTAGTATGACTCCTCAAGCTGTAGCGAACCCACCTGTCTCTGGAACTAGCACTCAAAATTCCACTGAAAAAGCGTCAAAGACACGCATTTCTATGGGCTTCAAAGCTTTTGTGAAATCACCCCCCTCACTGCAGAAAGGCTCCACCACAATACCAGGAAAGCAAGAGAAGGAACACATCAACTCGGTCTCCAAAGAGACTGTGACTTCAAATGCTTTCACCCCATGTGACAGTTTTCAGGCAGTGTATGTTGATTCGTTAGCCATGACTTCCATCATGGAGACTAAGGGTGAGGTCCAGTGCATCCTTCAGGAAGAGGAGGCACACACCTCTGAGTTGGCAGAGCAAGGGGAGGTTGGTGACAAGTCGGACTGCGACAGTAGACTGTTCAAGAGGTCCATATCTGTCACGACCAAACCTCACCTAAAGCCCGCCCTGGGGATGAACGGGGCGAAAGCGCGCAGCCAGAGTTTCAGCACCCACTACATGGAAAAACCCAACATCAACGTGTTGGACGGACATGTGAAGATTCGAACCCAGATCATCACCAACTCTGGAGAGAGGGGGAACTCATTAACAAGGCAGAGCTCATTTGTTGAGGGCCTACAGATGAAACCCAGTAGCGGATCTGGGGAAAGTCCGGTCCGTTGCCCTAGCCACAGGTTGAGCCACTACGGAGGTATGACAGGCTCTAACAGCCACCAGGGCCTTCCGGAGAGAGCCTCCAAATCGGGCTCCACCGGTGATGGGCCACGGAACACTGCAAAGGGGGAGAGCATCACAGCTCCACCTCAGAAAGAAGTGCGTAGCTTACCCCTTGCCGACCGGATCGGCTTGAAGAACTCCCGAAATCCCAAGAAGGTCGCATCTCATCCTCAGTTTGGGTCGCCGGCCTCTCCTGTCTATAGCCCAGAGGCCACAACAAAGGGTGGGAAAGTGCTCAGCCCCGGCAAACTAGACCTCCCGAAGAGCGTCAAAGTCCAGGCAGGCTGTTCTCAAGGGGCGCTTGATGAGGAAGAGCAACCAGTGAGCCCCACAGTCTGCACCATCGAGGAGAAGGTCATGATGGGGATCGAGGAGAATATCCAGAAAGGTCAGGGTCAAGAGAAGGTAACAGCATCGGAGACCAAGCAGAAGACCGGCCCTTCTCTGGCCAACTGGTTCGGCCTACGTAAAAGCAAGCTGCCAGCCTTGAATGGGAAGAAATCAGACGCCACCTCCCCGAAAGAGAAAGATGAGAAAAAAGATCTGAAGATCGGATCCGTGCTGGGAGGCAAACAGATGAAATCGGACAAAAAGAAGGACAAGAAGAAAAATGACAGCCAGTTCGAAAAGAGTCCAGAGCTGACGTTGTCGGAGAACAAGCTGAGCTCGATCATGGATCATTGCAATATTCAGATGGGACAAATAGCCAATCAGATCCAGTGTTCTACAACCTACACCGGGAAAGACCAGTTCATGAAAGAGCTTCTTGGCAGGTTGGTATTAACGGAGCAACATTCGTAAAACCTGATTTGTCAAATACTTCAAGAACATTTGCATAATTAGTCATAGGTAAAAACCTAAAAAAAGTTACAGTGAATTGATCAGGAAAAAGAACACTCATTAGATAACTTGTCTCCTGCTGATATGATTGCAGATTGTAGTTTTAACATTTCTCCCAGTGTTCATGCTGCAGTAAAACACAAGTCTTGCTACATTATGCATGCATGTAAAGAGACAAAAGCACACACAGCTAAACAACAGCAACGCCAGCTGTCTCTTTGAGTTATGTTCTACTTGAGTGAACATAAGCACTTCCTAACCTGGAATCTAGAGACACTGTCAGCCCTGAGCTATCTCAGCTGGAAGAGTACAGCATTCATTACCCCTCCTCCCATAAATTGATATAATACCTAAAATCTCAGCTGACAGATTTTATCAAGAGTAGTTACAAACATTTATCACTCAATAAGACTTGAGTCGGGAAGAGCAGTTAAAAATAGGTTATTTCAGATCCTATGGTAGGGGGATAGCTATACTGCACAAAAATATAAACGCAACATGCAACAATTTCAATGATTTTACTGAGTTACATAAGGAAATCAGTCAATTTAAATAAATGAATTAGGCCCTAATCTATGGATTTCACGACTGGGCAGGGGCGCAGCCATGGGTGAGCCTGGGAGGGCATAGGCCCACCCACTTGGGAGCCAGGCCCATCCACTGGGGAGCCAGGCCCAGCCAATCAGAATCAGTTTATCTAAAACGACGTTGGAGGCGGCTTATGGTAGAGAAATGAACATTCAATTCTCTGGCAACAGCTCTGGTGGACATTCCTGCAGTCAGCATGTCAATTGCATGCTCCCTCAAAACTTGAGACATCTGTGGCATTGTGCTGTGTGACAAAACTACACATTTTAGAGTGTCTTTTTATTGTCCCCAGCACAAGGTGCACCTGTGTAATGATCATGCTGTTTAATCAGCTTCTTGATATGCCACACCTGTCAGGTGGATGGATTATCTTTGTAAAGGAGAAATGCTCACTAACAGGGATGTCAACAAATTTGTGCACAATATTTTTGTGCATATGGAAAATGTCTGGGATTTTTTATTTCAGCTCATGAAACTTGGGACCAACACTTTACATGTTGCGTTTATATTTTTGTTCAGCGTATATGGAGGTCGTATTGTGGGAGAACAATGGAATTTATCAGCCGGGATCTCTTTCCACCTGCACAGTTCATATGAAATCGGTTAAGCAGACAGACAGAAAATGAATCAAATCATGTTTCCTATACAGGAGTGTAAGGAAGGGCGACTCCATCGCTGAATCTCTCCCTGGCATCTCCATCCCCAAGAGAAACAGCGATATGAGGGGAGATATGGAGATCTGCTCCGATACAGCTGTGAGTGAGCAAGGGGTCCTGTAATGAAACGTTGCTAGGCTTCTAGGATATAGCATGTGTCTCTCACTCTACTGCGCCCTCTCTCTCTCTCTCTTTCTCTCTCTATTATCTGTCCATCTTTCCTCATAATCTCACCATTTTATCACTATTTCCTCTAACCTCAGTATCCATTTCCTCCATACCATCATGCTAGTCAGTTGCTTATTGGATTGTATGTATACTCAATATAATTTTCTGTTGCAATAACATTTTCCATGTCGTGTGTCTAGTTTGTGTACAAACCTGCAAATTCCGCCAACCTTCACACAGACACACACATACAGACAGACTCAAAATACAGACAGACACACAAATGAGAGCACACTAAAGCACTTCATCTTGGGAAATACAATATGCTACCAATGTTGAACCACATACTAAGCTTTGGATAGAAAAAAAATGTTTCTTTAAGACTTAGAATGCCACGGAATTCTGACCTTGTAGAAGGTATTCCTTGTTCTTTGTCAGGGACAGAAAGAGAGCAAGGAAGGGAGGGGGAGAGAAAGAAAAGAGAGAGAGAAAGAGAGAGAGTCCACATGCAATATGCAGGAAATTCAATCCAGCTGATGGGGAATTTTGATAGTGAAGAGGAGGCTCTTATCGCAGACACTCAATTCAAAAAAGGCCTGTTTAATACTATCCGTGCAGCTTCATCTCTATCTCCCCTCTACAGAAACACAACTAAAGAAAATAAGTGTTTATGACCTGCAAATCCCCTTTATACCTTCGGATAACACTTTTTTGACATCACACTCTGTTAGCCCACCTGCATATTAGATCAATTACCTTGTTTTATCCCCTGACAGAACTACCTGTTATGAAAGAGGCTCTGAAAATGTAATAGTAATTTCTGTAAATCCAAGGTATTTGTCGATTCTGTTTTGAGTAATCTCTTAACTAATTGATGAATCGCCTTCCACTCTTGTTTTGTTTGAGCGCTAAAGGGATAAATGGGTATGCAGCGTGTGATGGAAATCTTGACAAATACAGAATATATATAAATCATGTTCTATCTGTATTATGCCAGCGATTGCATCTGTCTTAGCTGTGTTTGTCATTTTGGATGTCTGGCTTCGTAGAAGTATATAAGGTATTATCACGTTGTAGAAAAGTGTACTTTGCTTGTTTGGAGTTTATGACTCATACCAGACGTATCCTTGAACTTTGTTCTGTTCTTATCTGTGCAGATGATATTCAAGGAATGTTAAGGCCACAATACAACAGATTGAATTCACACACAAGCAGCAAAGCAATGATGAATTCAATACTATGCACATTACAAAGATGTAGGGGAAACAATGGGTCTGTTGTAACAGCTTAATAACTCAAATTAGAAACCACTTAGAAAGCTGGTATGCAATGTCCTAATGCTTGGTTAGTCAATCAATAATTGTTTTTTTTTATTGAGATAATTTTTTGTTTTGATGCCCTAAAGTAAATATACTTGCCGCCTCTCTTTTTTTTTTTTATTGACCTGTGGAACATTCTCCATGAATCTAAACATATAGTATTTTCATCAGTAAGATGGGGTCTTTTGATTGGTGTAGTTGATGACAATAATTATTGTTGTATTTTCTCACAAGATTCAGATTAGTATAGGCTCCTATGTGGGGGGGTTAGTTGTAACGCAGTACCTTATAAGGTATTTACATATTCACATAATTATATAAAATGTCACTTCTTTACATCAAGTTTAGCAGTACAACTAAGATAATACAAACAAATACAATTGTAACATTTCACTCCTGCCACTTTTGGTTGAATTGTAAACGACTGGTATGTTCTAGAAACGTAGTTACAGTGTTTAATGGTAGCTGAGATATGTATGTTTGTATAACAATATTATTTTCGTAGTAAACATTTTTCACACAAATGATGTACCATCTGTTGATGATATTGTGAGGCACATTTGATAACACTTTATTTCAATGTTCTGTCATTATGCCTAAACACAGTTATCATAAACATGATTTAGAACTTGATATTATATGTTGGGTGAACTCAAGTTTAGTTAAATGCGTACCGACTTAATCCTTCATTTTTTCCACCAGACCATCATTGTGACACAGAAGATCAGCCTGCAAGGAGAGAATGAGGAGGACCCCACCCCCGAGACATCATGTCAGGATCATATGATAGGTAAGGGTGTTTACTGTAGCAGTGAGCCTACTGTACTTTGAGCTATTGTCTGAAAACAATTAGTGCTAATAAGCAACATTAAAATACATTTTTCAACATAGGCATTTTCAGTAGTCACCAGCAATACATCTCCAACTGTTGCTCTCTGTGTAAAGTATTTCTGTAATAGATTATACAAACGGTCTCTTGTTTTAGGTTTCTGTAGCGTACAGAAATAACTGTTGCCATCCATCACCTAATGGCAAATGCATGTGGGACTTGCATATGGAACACTTTCTCATACCAGTGAAAAACTGTAAGCTTATAGCCTATATAATATTTCCTGCATCTTTGCAGGACTGATTCGTCTTGTCACTGGAGAGTGAATCTTTATTATCACGCCACTCTCCCACTACATATTGAGGTCATCAACAAAATGGTTACTGTCTCCAGCGTTCAAAAATCCTTTTAGCGTTGCTAGCGCACATTGTTATTTACGTGGCAAAGACATGGAGGGTTGTCACGGCAGCTGCTGTTCTGAGAGCATACAATGTGTGATAGGAAAATTATATGCAACAACACCCACTTACTATTTCAATGACAAGGCGATCTTTACTCGCTGGGCAGTTTGTCATTCATTGGCAGGTGGAAGGCATTCTTAGGGAGCGGGACAAGGACAGGGTAATCAATGTTTATTAGAGCTGTATAACGCTAGGTGCCTATCACTCTGTTGGAATGTTTTAGGCAGTTAATGTGCCACTCAATAGTCTATCTTTGTGATGATGACTGTTGTCCTTTCATAAATGGGGTCTTCTCTCACTTAGTCTGATGTTGCTTTGGCATTACAGGAGAGCAGTAAAACAGTCATTTACAACATGTGCAAAAGGTGTTTGTGATGCCTTGACTTGAACTATAGTGGTCTTTTATTTATATTTGAAGTGTGTCCTTATTTTCGCATAAGATTATGACCTCCATTGCTTAATTTTGATTGATTTATTTATTTCCATGCACATAATAGGTCTGTGTAGATAATATGGCTGCTGGTACGCAGTATTTCAGTAACTAATTTATGTTGACTATCATAATGACTATCTAAATCAAGGATAGCCTATCTATCAAAAGGATGGACATTATGGACCTAGATTTTCAGGTTATTTTGGACATAATTTACATCCAACATGGAAACCATAGGCCTACATACCGTTACTTATAAAAGCTGCTCTCTTTGGCGTTAAGTCATTTTTATATGCTAGCCTCTGTATTGATGGGGTCTACCACACAAATATTGTGAGAAATTGTTTTGACATGGGCAAATTTCCAGGATGTATGAACATTTTCTTGATTCAACTAAGCCCCCTAATGTGGAACAGAGCCCAAAATAAGATTATTAATCGTTTCTGTATTCTAATTAACTGAATGGCATATTTAATTCTACCAGCTAAGCACATCTATCCAACCTCCCCTCAGTATGAATTAAAGGTCTCATAAAGATTTAAGCAGAGTCCACTTATAGCTCCTGAAGTCCTGTCTAGCATATCATTTTACACTGGGCTTTTATGGGTAAAATATATAAGTCACAAGTTTGACTGAATACAATTAGTTATTTTCTCTGAACACAAGAAACTAGAAACAAAATTGTATTTTATTTTGACATAATGTGATATAGTAGCAGGGATTAAAACTAGAAACTAGAAAAGGATGCAGATGGACTCATGAGTCTATGAGGTGTGGCTTTGTCTTGGTTCAAATCAAATCAAATTGTATTTGTCACATGCGCCGAATACAACAGGGGTAGACCTTATTGTGAAATGCTTCCTTACCGTAACCAACAATGCAGTTTTAAGAATTAAGAAATAATATTTACTTAATAAACTAAAGTAAAAAAATACAAGAGCAACAATAAAATAACAACAACGAGGATATATACAGGGGGTACAGGTACCGATTCTATGTGCGGGGGTACAGGTTAATCGAGGTAATTGAGGTAATATCTACATGTAGGAAGGGGTAAAGTGACTATGCATAGATAATAGATAATAAACAGCTCATGTTTTGACCTTGGACTTGCTGAATTTAACGGTTTGAGGTCTTGGTCATGTGACGATAGCCATGGTCTCTGGTTGTAATTCCCATGCAGTTATGATGGTGGTTAATGTCTGGGTTTTACATGAGTCCTCATCATAACATGTCATTACGTCTGCAGAGCTTGCTCTCTATCACCTGGTGTTTAATTAATATAGAAGTGATTGGGATCACAGGAAACACAATTTCAGCCCCTCTCTGATACTTTTTCCTTTGCTTTTAGATAGTATTACCCTAGGTTATTAAAAACATACCCTACGAGGTCCGGAGTACTGCTGGTTTTCTGTTCTACCTGATAATTAATATGCACCCACCTGGTGTACCAGGTCTAAACCAGTCCCTGAATAGAAGGGAATAATGAGGGAAAAAAAGCAGTGGAACTGGCTTCTGGTACATATTTCAATTTGGTGGCCTTAGACCTTGTTATTGTGTGAGTGTAACGGGCATATTGAAAACAACTGCCAAATCAACTCCTTTGATTATTAAGCTTTGTGCGGTATGGATGTCTCCCTCTTTTATTTCGCTTTCTCTCTTTTATTTCTCTTTCTCTATTTCTCTTCTTCTTTATCTTCTCTCTCTTCTTCCTTGTCAATATGAACATGAATGTGAGACGTTCTGAACAGGTCGACATTTGATGCATCATGCAGAACTCTGTAGTAATTGATCAGCTGCTTGCCACAACCGCCCCGTGATGACTCATTGCAGATTAATCTGAGCAACCTAACAGGCCATCTGTCCATCGAGGTGGTTTATGACCACCTCAGCTACAACTCATTCTCACACATTACTGCAGAGTAGGAGGTGCAAGAGAGGCAGAAGAGGACATGTATGCCTACAATATGACTAACTGTGTACTAATACCATTATTAAGTTGGCTGTATTTACTCCCAGTCATCCAGTGGGACGTTTCTGATGCATAATTTAATTAATTAGTGTTTTGATGCACTGTTGATTTAATGGAATGTCTGTGGTTGCAAATTTAGAGGGGACTGTAAATATTGCTTTATTAGGTTAATAATGTATTTTACAACGGCAGTGCATTGCCTCTGATAAAGAGCTTTGGTTTTAATTATGAGGGTTTGATGCAGCAAGTAAGAGATGATGTTGAGTGAGCACTATGTTTATATGGGCATTTGTACCAAAGCATATCCATGGACGTTATGAGGGCTACAGTGCCTTGCAAAAGTATTCACCCGCCTTGGCGTTTTTCCTATTTTGTTGCATTACAACCTGTCATTTAAATTGATTTTTATTTGGATTTCATGTAATGGACATACACAAAATAGTCCAACTTGGTGAAGTGAAATGAAAAAAATAACTTGTTTCAAAAAATTCTAAACAATAAATAATGGAAAAGTGGTGCGTGCATATGTATTCACCCCCTTTGCTATGAAGCCCCTAAATAAGATCTGGTGCAACCAATTAGTTAAATTAAGTCCACCTGTGTGCAATGTAAGTGTCACATGATTTGTCACATGATCTCAGTATATATACACCTGTTCTGAAAGGCCCCAGAGTCTGCAACACCACTAAGCAAGGGGCACCACCAAGCAAGCGGCACCATGAAGACCAAGGAGCTCTCCAAACAGGTCAGCGACTAAGTTGTGGAGAAGTACAGATCAGGGTTGGGTTATAAAAAAATATCCGAAACTTTGAACATCGCACGGAGCACCATTAAATCCATTATTTTAAAAATGTAAAGAATATGGCACCACAACAAACCTGCCAAGAGAGGGCCGCCCACCAAAACTCACGGACCAGGCAAGGAGGACATAAATCAGAGAGGCAACAAAGAGACCAACAATAACCCTGAAGGAGCTGCAAAGCTCCACAGTGGAGATTGGAGTATCTGTCCATAGGACCACTTTAAGCCATACAGTCCACAGAGCTGGGCTTTACGGAAGAGTGGCCTAAAAAAAGCCATTGCTTAAAGAAAGAAATAAGCAAACACGTTTGGTGTTCGCCAAAAGGCATGTGGGAGACTCCCCAAACATATGGAAGAAGGTACTTTGGTCAGATGAGACTAAAATTGAGCTTTTTGGCCATCAAGGAAAACGCTATGTCTGGCGCAAACCCAACACCTCTCATCACCCCGAGAACACCACCCCCACAGTGAAGCATGGTGGTGGCAGCATCATGCTGTGGGGATGTTTTTCATCGGCAGGGTCTGGAAACTGGTCAGAATTGAAGGAATGATGGATGGATGTTTCAGTTTTCCAGAGATTTGAGACTGGGACGGAGGTTCACCTTCCAGCAGGACAATGACCCTAAGCATACTGCTAAAGCAACACTTCAGTGGTTTAAGGGTAAACATTTAAATGTCTTGGAATGTTTCCCCTCAATACAATTGAGAATCTGTGGTTTGACTTAAAGATTGCTGTACACCAGCGGAACCCATCCAACTTGAAGGACTGGAGCAGTTTTGCCTTGAAGAATGGGCAAAAATCCCAGTGGCTAGATGTGCCAAGCTTATAGAGACATACCCCAAGAGACTTGTAGCTTTAATTGCTGAAAAAGGTGGCTCTATAAAGTATTGACTTTGGGGGGGGGGTGAATAGTTATGCACGCTCAAGTTCTGTTTTATTCTTATTTCTTGTTTGTTTCACAATAAAAAAATATTTTGCATCTTCAAAGTGGTAGGCATGTTGTGTAAATCAAATGATACAACCCCCCCCCAAAATCAATTTTAATTCCAGGTTGTAAGGCAACAAATTAGGAAAAATGCCAAGGGGGGTGAATACTTTTGCAAGCCAAGAACTCCTTCAGGGGAAATAGTTAATTCATTCATTCATTCATTCATCCATACATCTGTTTATTCATTCAGTTCTAGTAGTTTGGGCTGAACGTCCAGAGACTGTATGAAAACAATGGAGGGATGTGTTAGGGCATATAGAAGAAGTGGATGTTTATGGTCTGGGCGTTACAAGACAAAGCTCCAAGGAATAGGTCCTGTGCTTGACCATGAAAGGCAAGAACAAAATCAGAACTTACCGATTGTTCTATGGGGAAAGTTATCTTCCAAAACAACTGCCTACTCAAAGGATATATAATTTCCAAGGTTTTTCCATCCTCAACTAGTCTATAATGTTTATAACGCTAGATTTATATTTTCTACTTTTGCAGTACAGCAACAAACTGTGGAACCTAGAATGAGAACAGAACAATGTCAAAGTTAGTCATATCAGTCATATGACCTTTCCCCCTCTTTTGTCTTTAAACTTAATCAAATTTAGAACTAGTTCAACATTCTCTTTATTTTTTTTACCCAAATTGTTGCAATTAAGTAATGAGCACAGAATGATTAGCCAACATCATTCACAGTTACATGGAATTGGATCATGCCAAACAGCCATCCATCTGTCTCGCTCTGAGACGTAGGCTTTGCAAAACGGGGTATTTTAAATGCTGTCCATCTGTTGCGACAATGTTCTTAGATCACTGCGCAGTGTGGAACATATCAAGTTCGGCGAATGTGTGTAAATCAACATAATGCTGATATAGGAGTTAGGGAGAAAAATCACGCTGGACTCCAAATGGGTGAAATTAGATTGGGAACGCAGAGAGACTTAGGAGTTACATGCGGCCGTTCATTTTAGATCATTTTCAAGATTAGTCAAATACCTTTATTAATATTATGAAGAAGTGCTAAAGATTTGATCATAGAGGGCTGATAACCACTTATAGGAATAAACCTGATGAATTACACACACAACAGATCGTATCACACATATTACTGGACAAAGTAATACGAAAAGGCCAGACCTTTCTCCTGTATTACATTTCTACAGTTTCTCATAAGGATTTGACTTTGGATTGTACCCAGGTCACCGTACGTGAAGTAATGCTCCTGTTTCTCTTGTTTTTGCCTCCATTCGTTCTCCTATCTTATTGAACCTACCCAAGATGCCCTTTTTACCCATAACCCCTTCCGTTGCTTGTGAATCCAATCCAGTGACTCCTCCTGCTTTTCCATTGCTCCCCCCCACCCCATCATCACACGCTGCTTCTCCTGTCCCTCCCCCAGGCTCCAGCTGCCAGATGAGAACCCTGGACAGCGGGATTGGCACCTTCCCCCTCCCCGACTCCATCACCCGGGTCAACGGGCGCCACATTCCCAGATCCGAGTCCAGCCCAGAACAGATGATGGCGAGCATTCCCAGTCCCACTGATCCTGACCAGGATCCTGACCTGCTCTCGGCCTCTGCTGCTCATTCCCCATTCCATGTGAAAGTGCCTTCCCTGTCTGAGACCCACCCGCATGCACCACCCACCAGTGCCCTGGGCCACTCCCTGTCTGACCCTACAGTTACTGGACGAGGTTGTGGACAGGACGCCCTGAGCCGCCTCCCCAGACCATCCACCTCAGGTAAGACTGGGGGTTCACCTCATATCAACATCCGCGTTACGTCCCCATTCTATACCCTTCACCCATTGTGTGCACTTCCACACTCTGCTTCATGGATTAAGAAGCATTGGACTGCCATAAGCATTGGCTGGACAATGTCCACACCATTGTTCTAATACCAGTCCAGTCCCATCATATGAGGTGGTGTGTTCAAGTGCACACTTCAGGGAGAAAGGTTGATGATAGGGACACAACCACTGTTAAAGGCTCTGTGTTGTCTCTGTCTTATGCCAGTGGTTTTATGTTAGGTAAACCAATGATCCACAGCTGCATATAAAAGCTAGAATAGCTGGGCTGGCTCAGAGGATATTTGGCCACTATCATGAAACCCAATTTGGTGTTAACCCATCTATAAACTGTGTATAAAATGAGAGAGGATAAAATTCAGATCTTCGCTGGCTCAATTTGATTGTGAAATGAGGGTGGCAGTGTTTTACTTCAATACACATCATTATGATCATTGTTGAACCTTAAATTGCTCTCAAGAATTCAATACATGTTCCACCCTCTCAATCTCAACAGAGGATCCATTCTCCACTTGAAGGTATTCAGTGAAAGGAAAACCTTGTACCTTTGTTAATCAGTCTCCTATGCATTTTGAATGCTGTACTAGATGGACAAGCCTATCAGGCTTGATTGGTATTCTGAGTGATATTCTGTAGCTCTGCTTAACAAAGGACCCTGCGTCCCCCACCCACCTTCACAAAACCCTCCAGATAATACGGCCCACAGACCATGTCCCAAGGATAAGTCGCTAATACAATTAGACATGCAAACTCACTAGCGACAATTAGCGACATAGATCATAAACCACCTTCTGCCTGTTTGTTTACCGCAGCAACACAACAGCATGGCGGTGGGTGGAAGGGAGGGAAGGATGGAGAGAGGGATCATATGGGCTGAGGGAAGTATCACTAACAATGTACTCGTATAGGGATGAGTGATCCCAGAGATCACGCCTAGGGATTTATACAATCAGGGAATTAGTGTCTATCTGTGTGACCTCGGTACTGCAGTGGCACTGCAGAGAAGGTAGGTATGACCAGCAACTGTCATTATAACGAATAGAGAAGGAGCCTAATCACCACCACAGATTCCCTCACAGGTAATCAAGAAGATGAAAGGACTATTTTGTCCTCGGTGCGGTACAAATTATTCCGCTGATGTTCCCGCGGCGCCTCCCGGTTAATTATATTGTCAGGAGAAGGTAGAAAGTTGTAGAGGGAAAAATAAGAAAAAAGAGAGGAGGAAGGGGTAGGTAGTCATTACAATTCAAACTGACTCAGCTGTGACTATCATTGGGTGCTTTGTCATTGGGGGCGACAGTTTGAAGCTGGTATTTCGGAGCTGCTTCAAGTGAGAGATGCAGCAGTGTAGTCACCGTAGGGAGGATGCCAATGACTATTAATAGATGAAATGCCAAACTATCCTCACACTTAAAGAAATTGTAGCATCATGCTCTTGTTGTACAGCGTGTGCTTTCACAGGTTAACAACTATATTGGCATAGCGTTAGCTATGGAATGCGTCCCAAATGGCAACCTGTGGCCCTGGTCAAACGTAGTGCACTATAAAGGGAATAGGGTGCCATTTGGGACGCAACTATGAGTCTTGCTGTAGCTCCAGGACCTACATGTAAAAGCTTTGACATTTTATTTCTAATTCCGCCCTCTATGTACGTAATGCGTAGGCTCTCTTCCTGGTGTGAGTGTATGGGTTTGGGTTGTTGTCTGTGTCTCATGATTTGTTTCTCTTTACTTTTGAATGATAGATGTGATCAGAAGGAAGCGACTGAGTCAGATACAGTTGCGCAGCACCAGCCACACAGTCACTACAGAGGCCCACGAGGAAAAAGTGGAGAAGAAGAGGAACACCAAGGACCTAAACTCACCCAGTGTAAGGAACTTCCCCTACACTATTAGACCTATGTCAAAGGGGTGGTGTTTTGGGAGCAAAATAGACTGCAATAGCATAGTAGCATAAACTCATTTTTTTTGCATGAAATACAGTAAATGTTGCTAGTAGTAGAGGGATGTGGTTCAGTTATTCTCTGACTGAACCAGTCATGAACCTTTCCATGCAATTAAAACAAAATAAGAGAAGAGAAAATCTGCTAAACTGACAAATCTACTTAAAATGCCTAATGGTTGTGTTTTTGTGTACCATACAAGATGCATTATCATCTGTAATTGTGGCTTCCGTACTTACAATCCCTATACAATTGCACATCTCCAGGAAGCATTATCATTATGAAAGAGTATCTCCGTAATCTGTTGCGGAAAGAGTGATATTAAAGGGATGTTATCTACTTCCCCAGAGTCAGATGAACTTGTGGAAACCATTTTTATGTATCTGCGTCCAGTATCAATGAAGTTAGAGGTAGTTTCGCGAGCCAATACTAACTAGCATTAGCACAATGACTGGAAGTCTATGTGTATCTGCTAGCATGTTAGTAGATCTAGGGCCTCATTGCCAAAATCCAAAAGTATCCCTTTAAGAAAGCAATTACTAACTAGCGTTAGCACAATGACTGGACATCTATGGTAACAGCCAGTGTCCTATAGACGTCCAGTCATTGTGCTAACACTAATTAGCATTGGCTCGCGAAACGACTAACTTCCTTCATACTGGACGCTGAGACATAAAAATGGTATCCACAAGTTAATCTGACTCCGGGGAAGTAGTCTTTAAAGGGATACTTGATCTATCTTCTCATTCTGTTCTGATGTCCCTCTCTTTCCTGAACAGGACAGAGTCCTGAGAGTGTGCACATACTCTGGCAGCAGCAGTGACACAGAGACAGAGTCTGAAGGGAACACGCTAGGCTCCACCCAAAGCACTCTTACCAACAGAGCAAAGACAAGCAACCAAGGTCAGAATCACATCTGCATCCCACATCCACAGACACAATAATGATGTTATTTAGATGTAGGCCTACAGCATTTGATTTGAGCCAGTTTATCTTAGGTCTATTTTACACATGATTTGTTTGAAACAACAGTACATCTCCTTGCATTTTGTTATTGCAGTTCCAAAATAATTGAAGTTGATTGAGTGATAGATATATTGGTTGATTGAAACTTGCTCTCCACAGTTGTCTACGAAGAGGAGACGATGAAGAGGAGCAGTGTGGGAAAGTTCCCGTCAATCATGGACTACTATCAACATGACATGTTCTCTCACATAGAGAAGGACGACCACAGGAGGAGTTTCTCCCAATACAACTTGTTGCACAACCAATCATCGCTAGAGGGAAAAGCACGAGACAGACTAAGCGTAAGTACTTCTTGTTGACCTATGACAATCACTGAAAAAAAATATCAACGCAACATGCAACAATTGCTAAGATTTTACTGAGTTACAGTTCATATAAGGAAATCAGTCAATTGAAATAAATGCATTAGGCCCTAATCCATGGATTTCACATGAATGGGCAAGGGTGAAGCCATAGGTGGGCCTGGGAGGGCATAGGCCCACAGACAGAAATACTCCTCAACTCCTTTCTGGGATTTTCTATTTCAGCTCATGAAACATGGGACCAACAGTTTACATGTTGTGTTTATATTTTGGTTCAGTATATTACCTTTGACATATCCTTTTGTAGCTCGGTTGTTTTCACATATACTCAACTAGATGATCATGATCTTTTGATGTTGCTTCAGGAGGATCTATTGCACGGACCACTTTACCTCGACCTCGGAAAAGTATTATGTTTACAATACAGTGTTTGACACTAAGGATGTAGTCAAACTTTCCCTCTAAATTTTATGTGAGATCATGCATTAGCTCAAGGCAAACTGTTTCCATGGTAACTTGCAGTCCAACTCATGTGAAAACAAATCAATGTAAAGCAAAATTGGTCCTTCTCCAGCTTCTCCAGCTTTCTCAAAGTGCGTACAAAGTCCACAAAGCTTGATGTCTTTCACCCTCCTATAAAGCGCTGTGGTTGGATTGTTCTGACATTTTCATAAAATAAAAAAACTGAAAGTCGCCTAATTGCTTTCGATCGGCTTGCCCTCTCGTGTCACGGGGTATTTGCCTAACGGTATTTAACTTCACTGAATGACAAATGAGGAGCAGTGACCATGAAATGGCCCTCGCCCCACTCCCCTCAGCCCCCACTTCCCATTGGATCAGTGCAGTAGAATAACCTAACACACACACACACACACACACACACACAGAGACCTGACAGAAAAATCCATAATCTGCAAAAGGATCTGACTCAACACAAGTTCAGAGAGAGAGAGAGAGAGAGAGAGAGAGAGAGAGAGAGAGAGAGAGAGAGAGAGAGAGAGAGAGAGAGAGAGAGGAAAAATACATTAATTTGTTTTATGTTGTTGACCTATGGTTCTTACTGTTGGCCTATAGAGGCCTTGTACTATGAAAGAGGAGCAGTATTGAAACTTGCAGCTACTCTGCTAAAGCGAAATACAACTTTGCAGGGCTCAGGGTGCTTTGTATGCCTTTTTATTAAACTTACAATATCAACCTTGCCAGTCGCTTTTTGTGCTCAAATATTTCTAAGATTCAATAAGTAAAGATCTATTCCATTCTGCATTGACTGAACAATTGACTGCTCAAATTGAATGTGGAAAATGAATGTCCTTGGCGTATGCTTTGACCCTGACGAAGGCACTGCATACAGAAACATTGGTTAATCTATTCATTGAATAACTGGGAGTAAAATAGAGTTTGCAGCTTTTTGTCTTCTCGGCTGTTAGTCTACACTAAATGAAACAATTTTGGATGAGTCTTCCGCTCCCACTCTACAAAGACGTTTTTGTGCTAAAATGGCCAGGATTTGACCATTTTAATGTCTGTGTGAAATAAAGTGAAGTGTGGTTGCTGGTTGCGGAGGTGGGGTTGTAACTGAGGTTTTTCTAACAAGGTTTATGTGTGGTTGGCTGCTGCGGTGGTGAGCCGGGGGTTTGAAAGCATGGCTCGGATTGTGATGAGACTCCCTACAGAAATGCAGTGTGTCCGACAGAGACCATGTGCATCCAACCTGCACAGAGATCACCCAAACAACGATAACAAATACACCAAAGACAGAGCAACACTATGGATTTAATCCTACCATCTATTGCTGTCCAGTAATTGGTCTTGGAAAGACCTCACAAGAAAATATCTTTATAAATAAAATAAAACTAAGGAACTTTGAAAATACATCTAAACCAACACAATTAAGACCTATGAGGACTATTGGCATTGTTTTGTCGCATAGCCCTAGGCTATTCGAAATTCATCCGTTAATAATTACATTTTCAAGGTAAAGGTATACAGATATTTTGGCATGAGCCAAAAATAAATATGGTGGTGGGACCCCACTGTATATGTGACCATTCCCTTTAAGTCAGTCAGGTAAGTTCATGGTATCTTTATGGAAGATTCGTTTGGGAAGTGGGAAGTGTGTGGAAGGTGCAGGTGCGGGTGCAGTGTGAGATTGGGTGATTTAAGTGCCTTTAATAACCTTTCACAAACACTCAGGAGAGTGATGTAAAGCTCGGCAGCTCCCATCAGAGACCTCATGGCCCAGCCTGGCCCCCATTCATCATCCTGACACTGCCTGACAGCAACGCTGCCTGCCTGCCTCTCTGCCTGCCTTGCTACACCCCCTCTTCCCTCTGCCTCCTTCAACCCCCCACACCCCTTTCTTTCTCTATCTTTTGCTCTCTCAGTTTAGCTCTCATCCTCTCTTTCTTTCCCTCTCTTTCTTTCTTATTTCCTTCTCTCCCTCATTTTCTCTCTCTCTCTCTCTCTCTCTCTCTCTCTCTCTCTCTCTCTCTCTCTCTCTCTCTCTCTTTTTTTTTCTCTCTCCTGATGGGTAATAGAGATTTCTGCAGGCCTTTCCGACAGGGGGAAAACAGCATAAGATGCTGTGCTGGGGCTGGGCAGGGCCTAAGGAGCCTGACCAGAGAGGGCCAGGTTACACAGCCATATGCCTCATAACTATATAATATCTGTGGTCACACGTTCTCCCCAGCTGCTTGTAACAGCTTGTTACCTGGAGCACTAATGTAATGGGGAGAGAGAGGGATGTTTTTGGTCTTGGACATGCAATTGGAAATAGAAGTACAGACATGTAAGAAGTGCTTCAGATGACAGACTTTTGAATCAAATATTGGGGCAGAATGTTTCCAACGTATATATCCTTTCAGAATCCCAATTACCCAAGGCATTCCCATTGAAATGAAATACCTTAGCAGTTGACAAGCTCTTTTTCTACCTGAAGTGCCCCTGAGGCGATGTTTTCCTGTGTGTTCGGTTGTAAAGGATACACTTCAACTGGCTCCTTAGGTGCCAGCAGATGGTCAAGGTCTGCACGGAGGTTGGTTTCAACCCACAGACAAGAGTGGTAATTGTGTTTCACCAAATCAAATTCAATCACAGATAAGAATCCCTCCTACCGAGATAGAGAGCTCAGTGCTGTTAGGAGAAGAGCAGGACCATGATTGCTGTTCCTCACTGTCAAAGGCACTGAACGAAAGGCCACCCCAATTCCAATCACTGATCACAATCAAGTCATACACCCTCTGCTCTGTTCTCATGATCTTCCACATCCATGCACCTGTAGACTACACTGCACTGGCACATACTATAGGGTTGGTTTCCCGGACCCAGATTGAGCCTAGTCCTGGACTAAAAATAATTTTCGATGTAGCACTTTTGGATTCTCCAGTAACTTTGCTAGAATGGAGATATGCGTCATTGTGCAGATTTGAATCCCATTTGTTTTTATCACCAACCCTTGAATTACCGTTGTACCTCAAAAGTGATATTTTTCAGAACTCTAGGGTATTTCTGATTTTCTTAGTGCTGATTTAGTACATGAAGAATATCTAACCCGCGGTGCCTGTGTGTTGAATGCATTAGTGTAAACCACCAGATTGTTAGCGGAGTGGTTCTGGGTTGGAGTTCCTGGGAGGAAAGCCATTTCTAAGGGCCACCTGTCAGTGAACACTTAATGATGAGGAGTTGGTGAAACCCTGAGGGCGGTCTATACCCCTGGTAATACAGTAACAACTCTGTGTACACTCCACCCGGGAAGTGTGTGGATGTCTTGGCCCCTTCAGTAGATTGGCTAGAGGTAAATCCAGTTACCCAGAGAATTGTGTTTACCTTTACCACAGATAAAATGTAGCCAGAGAGGCCAGGCTCCTTCTAATGATTCCTCAAATTATTTCAAGATTCCTCAGTGCATGTTGCATAAATAGTTCTGTTAAGATATTCTAATAGCTATTGACCAAGGTTGAAATAAACAACATATTTTTTTTTCTATTGAAGATGTGTTTTGTACTCACTGTGGTTAGATTTATGACTGTATGTGGGAAAAATGCATTATGCATGATTTCTGTGATTATGCTAGATTGGAGATGCAGAGGTTTATATATATATATATATATATATATATATATATATATATATATATATATATATATATATCTCACTGGGGACCTTTCCTATTGTTGTGTTGCCAATTTACTCAAGGGTGGTGGAATGGCTTGGAGGCGTTTTCCATGGAAGAAGGCAATGAGTTCACCGACCACACACGATAAAAGTGTAGATACCAAAGATAGTTCTCAAAAGTACATAAACAGGGCTTAGAGGGCTCTAGTGATTCATCATGAAACTGCAACATTAAAGCTGCAATCTGGGATTGATTTCTTAGCAAAATGGCAGCCCCAAACCTGTTGTGGTATATTCTTCAAGAATCAATGGATTGAAATCTCCATTGAACAGATACCCAGATCCCACATTATACCTTTAAGTGAGATTCTCTGTGCATACCAAAACACCTATCAATATGCAAAATGATATTCAATAGATGTTTGCTCTACAGTATATTTAAGGTTAAGCCATTTGCGTTACTTTATAGCGAGAAGAAGCCGGCCGCCGTTTGACTCGTTTCTTTTTAACAACATGGGCTGCTGACAAAAAAATAATACATTGTGTCAAAACAGCTACGAAGGAGAATCTCTCCCTCTCCCTCTCCCTCTCCCTCTCCCTCTCCCTCTCCCTCTCCCTCTCCCTCTCCCTCTCCCTCTCCCTCTCCCTCTCCCTCTCCCTCTCCCTCTCCCTCTCGCTCTCCCTCTCCCTCTCCCTCCCTGTAGAAAGGTTGATATCTCACGGCAGATTCCCCCAGACAGACTTATTGGGCCTTAAGCATGGGAGGAGAATGAACAAAGCTCTCAATAAATCAATGCGATACTCAGGAATGACAGTAGTCAAAGTGCTTTGTAGTGTTGCGTTACGCTGAAGTAGATATACACTGAGTGTACAAAACATTTCCATCACATAGACTGACCTCATGAGTCAACATGGGCCAGCATCCCTGTGGAACACTTTCGACACCTTGTAGAGTCCATGCCTCGACGAATTGAGGCTGTTCTGAGGGCAAAAGGTGTTCCTAATGTTTCGTACACTCAGTGTAAATTCAGCATGACAGCCTTGTTTTTCTTGTTTCTGGATATTCTTTGTTGAGAGACTGAGTGACAGATTACTTATATGAAATTATATGTAGAAAGGGGCAATCTGGGACTGCTTTATTGTTGTTTGAATACCAGATTGACACTTTAAAGTATGATAATAATGTGCTGCAGTGTGGACTCATTGTGGGCAGATGACAAAACACCCCTCATCTCATTTTCTCCTCTCTTGTTTGTCTTGTTTTTGCTGTAGAAAGGGAATCAAGTGGACATGACGACAGGCGGCTGCGGCGGAGTGGTCCAGGCCGGCTCTAGAGACGTGTCCTTGGAGTCCCTGAACAAGCTGAACAGCAGTGGGCTGGGGCTGTACCCGGAGACAGAGCAAAGGCCAAGTAGCGGTGACTGCTCCTGTTCCGCAGGGGAGAGAGAGGAGGACTGCTGCAGCAGGGCTGACAACGAGCCCTCGTCGTCCAGCTACGGCTCCAACAAGCCCGGGGCGGAGCGTGTGGGTTCTCTCAGTGATTCGCTTTACGACAGCTTCTCCTCGTGCACCAGTCAAGGCTCCAACAATGTGTAGAGTAAGAAAGTGGAGGCCGGGGACGATTCTGTGGAGTCCTCTGCTACTCCCACCAACCGAAGCACTTAGGTCATAAGGAAGGAAGTGATGTCATAGGTGATGTCATAAGATAAGGACGTGAACCCAGACTGTACAGTATGCATGACCTCTGACCTGGACAATTAAACTATAGGCTACAACAGTACCACCGTTCAAGGTGTGGAAAGCAATATTAGAAATAGTCTTCTTGCATTATATATTTTTTCCCGAAGGGGGAATGTTTTTTATCATTGCACTGTAACAAATACTGTACAAAGTTTTTAAGGAATTTAAAAAGTGAAATTCAACTTGAAGACAAAACTAGAGTAAATACCACCAAAACAAACCAATCAGAAATATCATCAGGAGCAACTGATGATGCCTAGTAGTGTGAAGCAATACCTTAGGAATCATCAAATGTGAAAAAAAACAATTATGGTTGTTGGATGTGGATGTGGATAGACGGTTTTCTCACTGATCATTATTTCTCAAGTTTGAATTGGAGCAATGTTTTACTGCCACAGTGTTGTATGCCACAATGGCAGGTCTACACACCACAACTCCCATCATGCAATACACTGCAACCCATACCATACAATCACAGCCCCTAAAGCCATTGGCTCAAACGTGTACGATTTCCAGACTGCTGTGGTATCTTGAAAGTTGCATGGTGAACGAAAATGTGACACACACACATTAGAACAAATACAAGAACAAATATTGTATTTTATTTTTAAAGTGGTGTGATTTATACTTTATATTAAGTGACCTAAATACATGCATGTGCACATTTAATTGAACCACCAGTACTGTGGAATCTTAATGAATAATATCCTGCATATTGAATGTACTGGAGTCAGTATTGACTTTGAATTGTATTATAAATTAGGAATACATGATCAATCATTTCTACCAGCAAGTCAAAACTGTCAAGCTGAACTTCAACTGATGTGTAGTAGCTTAAAGGGATAGTTCGGGATTTTGGCAACAAAGCCCTTTATCATTTTCCCGAGTCAGATGGACTCATGAATGCCATTATTATGTCTCTGCATCCAGTATGAAGGAAGTTAGAGTTAGTTTTGCGAGCCAATGCTAACTAGCATTAGCGCAATGACTGGAAGTGTATGGTATCTACTAGCATGCTAGCAGTTACCATAGACTTCCAGTCATTATGCTAACACTATTTAGCAACTTCCTTCAAACTGCACGCAGACACATAAAAATGGTATCCACGAATTCAAGTTTAATAAATCCTGAAGTATCCCTTTAAGCAATTACTGTGCCATCACCATTGTCTTTGGGTCACTCAGTATTTGATGTAAACATAGAACTGAATTAGTGTCTGAATGGTACTTATGAATCAGACACTTCTGCTGGCTTCAATAACACATTTGCGGAGCAAGGTCTATGCTAGTAGCTCAGGGAATATGCAACGCTTATACCTAGTTACCTTGAATATAAGGTTACAACTCATGGAAAATACTGTCATTTAAAAAAAGTAAAAGCTTCATGAACTGCAGGATAACATAACTGTTGAAATTGGGTCTCTTGTAGCATCATAAAACACTCTTTTTTTTTGTATATGTTGTCTCTGTGTTAAAAACTGCTATTAAGTTAATATCAGAATGAGCATTGCTGACTGGTATATGCAATTTTAAATGTAAATCATTTTGTTGTGTTTGCCAATCATTCAAGCTTGTCTATAAGTCTACTGATTGAAAACAGCTCAATTTTTCTCGAAAATGTCCTCGTTTTGTGACTTCCTGTAGGTTTTGTCGATACAAAATGTTTTATTTTGTCGAATAAAAGCTACTACTGCTACCTTTTATCACTTTATCCAAAACACATTTGAAACGTAGTAGGAATAAATAATCATGCCAAACGTGTGTAATTTGATTCTGGTGCTAATCAAAAACAGACTGTAAGTTTCATTGTTTGAATTTTTTTCCATGAAACTGTTAATAATATGTAAGGAGTCTTGCTAAGACCATAATCTGTATTTTTCTAGCTGACAAGTATTTATATCCCACTTTTTGTACATGGAACTGTATAGTAGTGTTTAATTGTCCTACTTCACATCTTCTCTCCTCGATTGTTCCTTTGTAAGAGAACCTGTTACCAGCAGTGTTACTTTGGTAATTACGTGTGCAATTTTGGCTGTTACATTAGACTTGTAATGCTATATTTTATGTAATAATTTCCTATACAAATAAAAAGAAATTATTTCCTATTTCAAATTTTGTGCCGCTTCCGTAACTGTTTGAGGTTGACGTGTGCGTGCGTGTGTGTGTGTGTGTGTGTGCGTGTGCGTGCGTGAAGTCATACACGTGTGCGTTCAGTATCATATACTGTAGTCAAATGTAAGGTACCATAGTCATAAGGAACAGTGAGATCTTCACTGATCTTTGCCATTGCGCTCATAAATGTGTACCTGAAATATCTGTAAGTAGTCTACCGCAGGGAATTGTTAATAATGGCAAGGGAAGGTTTGAGCCAAGTCCTGTCTTCAAATGCTTGCCATAAAGCTCATGTCATATCCTTCAACTACAAAACGTGTTAAACCTATAGCCTGTGTCCACTGAGCTTTACTCTCTGAGACAGTGCTTATAAAGCAGGGGGATTTATAACAATTAGAGTCTCTTGATGGGTAATTATGTGACTATAAATAAAAGTAATTAATTCAGCCACCCAAGAGTGATTTCCAAACATTCTCTCTCGCTCTCTCTAAAATCTCCATATTTGGACGCAATTAACAGTCACGGATCTGCGTGTGTAGGATATGAGTGACTGATGAATTGCTTCCATATGGCGAGCTTTCATCACGTGGTACGTTTTATGATTTATCCTAATCCAATTTCACTGGAATTCCTCAACGTAGTCTCTCGAACCGCAGAGCTCGCCCTCGTCCTGTGCTGAGCATTACATTCCTCGCAGCATAATGTGCTCTCACACATTGATGCCACGGATCCATCTAAGGGTTTTGCTTTCGTTTTAAGTTCACCTGGTCTGATGTGTTCCTCTAAAGTGTCATTTGGGAGAGGATGTTGCTTCTAATTTATGCAACTTTGCTTGGAATTTTCCTCAAAACAGGTATGCAAACTTTGGGGACTGTGTAATCTTACATGTGTTGGCTAGCTGCGTTGTATTCTGTTGCTGAGAGTGGTGTCAACGTTTCCAGGTATTCCAATCTAATTCAAGTTTGGATTATGGTTAAATGATTTGGGGAGCTGTTTTTGTCGGATGAAAACAATTAAATCGTTTTCATAAATCCAGGAGAGGTCTAGTAATGCTAACAGTGAGGCGCGCAGGAGGTTACCGGTGCGGATCAAATAATCTTGTTAAATGCATGTATAACTGTCTTGGAATAAGAAATTGTGAAACAGATTCTTGGATTTTACATTTTTAATGACACACCTGCGCTCCAGCTACAGAAAATATATCACCTTAGGTCATAATTGCATCTGTAAAACCATTGCGCATGTCACCTCTGCAAAGGCATATCTTTTCAAAATGTGATTTAGGCTATTATTTTCCATATCTTTGCTTCAATTTAATAATATTGTTTAAAAATGTAAATGCTAAATAATAGATCGTGACATTCTGAAACATTGAACATTATTCCATATTTGGAGCATCTTTCTGCTCTTACAATTGCCCTACATGGCATGCTAATTAGGCTATTAAGTATTCAGATTAATTGCTATTAAACATGACTAGACACCATTACAGGTGAAGAATGTATTCACTCATTTTATAAAGCAGAGGGAAATGTGTAGGCCACTCATTATCAATAGCTAATTAATAGCTCTATAATTGACAACACAAATGCAATTCAACATTTTATTTTACAGGTGTAGGCATTCCATCAAGCTCAAATGATAAGGAACATGATTGATCAACAGTTGTCAGCTCAGGTGACTGTAATAAACTAAAAAAAAACATTTTTTAGTGGGTGTTAAATGAGCTGATCTATCACTCCATGCACACCTGTGATGAATATTAATATCAATAAATATGCAGAGAATAACAACCCTGTCTCTCTTCAGATGACGGTGGAAGGAAAATATACAATTTAAGATAGATGAAGGCAAATAAACTGAATTCTCAATCCACATGGGTCACCTTATAGCAATGATATGGTTATAATGTATACAAACCGTGGTAAATGTAGTTGTTAAAAAGGGATCAGGTAAAATGACAATGATAATCTATGTCAATGGAGCAGTCCACATTCTCATTCCAACATACATCCACTGATCATATCATCAGAATGATATAACAATCAGAAGCTGAGAGCTTTTCCAGTCCATATTTCCAGTAGAACCCCTTGCACATGAATATATGGGTAGATGAACAGTGGCATGTAAGAACTTGATCTCACCAAAAATGCCTCTGTGGTAAATAACATACAAATGTTCTGTCTGTTCTGCGTTGGATGTGCTGGATTTGGTTCACGTGCCCACTCCTTAAACATCATGTTCATTGTTAGCAGAAATTACATCTAAATAATTTGATGATGTTTTTACCTCAGTGAAAAGGGTATAGAGGAACAATATGAACCGTATAGACAGTATGTACATAACTATATGCTTGGCTAAATGTTATGTACATATGTGGTTTATAGAGGACAAATACAGTACAGTCTATGATGTGTTTAGGCACTTTATGAGACTCTATTGCTCGGTTGATGGATGGAGTTTTGAAGCATTTATCTGGTTATAAATTAATTACACTCAGATCTTTGTTTTGGATCCTTTTCAATTGAATTTGTGCTTGATGGCGCTGTCAGACTGGGAGATGAATGACTGTCGCCATTTCAATAATTAGAACACAGTAATATCTGTCACGGAGAACAAATGACCTGAAACTGTGGCGCCTGAGAACATTTTGAATTGTTGTTTAACATAGCACAGTCATGCATGTTTCTGCAAAACTCCATACCCTGAATCAGATTTTGCTATCCATCCGGTATCCTCGATTAAATTATTACGATTTTTCCTCCCTGTGAAACAATTTTGGATGAATAGCCAACCATCTGTCATTCTTTGTTAATTTCCATTTAATTCCAATCAGTCAAGTGACAATGGAATTGTGGCGCAGTGGTCTAAGGCACTGCATCGCAGTGCTAGCTGTGCTACTAGAGATCCTGGTTCAAATCCAGGCTCTGTCGTTGCCGGCCGCGACCGGGAGACCCATGGGGCGGCGCACAATTGGTCCAGGGTAGGAGAGGGAATGGCCGGCAGGGATGTAGCTCAGTTGGTAGAGCATGTGGGTTTGATTCCCACGGGGGGCCAGTATGAAAAAATAAATAAATAATGTATGCACTCACTAACTGTAAGTCGCTCTGGATAAGAGCATCTGCTAAATAAATTAATCTAATTTTAAGTCAGTGCTGGAGCAACAGCTTCATTGAGTGTGTGGATAAAGCACTTTGTTTGCAACACTCTAGCTTAATTGTTTTCAACTATAAAAGTCAGAATGGCAATTATTATTTTAGTGGGTAAAGTTGAATGGCCTTTTTCCCTGCACAGATATGCCCAGCTTCCACACACAATTGTGTCTGAGGGCACTGTATTAAGTTTAGTTGGCAAATAAGTGAGAGTATGGATTTATATTGTTGAAACATATTTGTTCATTATTGTCGGTCAAAATCCCTTTATCCTGACTCCAGATCTGTTTGTGCATTAAACAACTCCTCTCTGCTGTGTTTCTTCGTTGTCACGACAAATGTGTATGTAGTCAGAGAAGTATGTGTTTTGTGTGACTCATCAGTGCTTTCTGTGGTGTGGTACAGAAATGTTATTATATTAGCTCAAATTTATATTGTCTGATATTTGTAACATGTCCACATGTGTAAGGATAGCATCAACATCGTCTCTCCCACATGAAATGCTCTTTGAGATAATCTTCATGTTTGTTATTCATCGAGGAGATCCAGTCTTTTTTTCAGTCCACCCCTTGTCCTCTGATCATTGCAAATATGGACCAAGTTGACTTTCAAAATGCCAACAAAGAGACTTTTTCATTTCAAAGATGAATTTGTCTCTCCTCGAGGATACAGTTCCTGGTCTGTGGTAATGGCAATAGATCACGAAAACACTTATTGTTGATTAGCTGGGAGGAATATATGTCTCCTGAGTGGCGCAGTGGTCTAAGGCACTGCATCGCAGTGCTAACTGTGCCACTAGAAATCCAGGCTCTGTCGCAGCCGGCCGCGACCGGGAGACTCATGGGCGGCGCACAATTGGCCCAGCGTCGTTCAGGGTAGGCGAGGGAATGGCCAGCAGGGATGTAGCTCAGTTGATAGAGCATGGTGTTTGCAATGCCAGGGTTGTGGGTTCGATTCCCACGGGGGGCCAGTATAAAAAAATATGTATTCACTAACTGTAAGTCGCTCTGGATAAGAGCGTCTGCTAAATGACTAAAATGTAAATGTAAAATGAATATGTGGGGCTGAAAGGCCCCACATGAACAAGGGATAATACTAATGACTGAACTGCAGACCTGGGTGCACAAAATACAATTTAAAAATCTTTCAAATAAGATTTTAGGCCTAATCTTTTAAATACTTTCTGAATTTTGATCGAGCCTGCCTGCAGTGCCAGTTGGGCAGAGTTGCTTTGCACTCCATTGGTTCCATTGTGCCAGGCAAGCTCAATCAAGCACAGCTAAACAAATTTGAAAAAATGTGCCTGTAGTCTCTCTTGAACATCATTCATAGACTAATGAGGTGACTATATGCCAGATACTAGTGAACTGTTCTTGTGGGCTTTTTTTTTAACCCTTGTGGTTCTTCCTGTCTCTCTTGTACAGGTTATGCTCTCCAGATCCAGTGTTACCAGTGTGAGGAGGTGAAAAACGATGAATGCTCCACGGCAGAGTTCATCGTCAACTGCACTGTCAACGTGCAGGACATGTGTCAGAAGGAGGTGCTGGTGAAGGAGGATGGTAAGAAAACAGCGTCTCCTGGGCAGTTCCATTCCTTTCATACTTTGTTCTTTATAGGATAGAGATAGTGAGAGAGTAGTCCCTTCTCACAGCCACTGTATCTCCGCCACAGCAGAGTGTGAGCTTGAGTCTGACCAGAGAGACTAGTGAGAGCGAGACAGGAAGGTTGTGGGCCGGATTCGAACCCACGCCGACACAATATAAATGTGTTCTGCAGCTAGACCACCCCAGGCCACCCCAGGCCACTCTGCCTTCTCTGACACCTACTATGCCATGTAAAACCAAGCCACACCGGACTGTGCCACTTTTAACATGTGAACTAAATAAGGTATATTTTCCTCTTTCATGTACTTCCTCTCTACCTCTGAATTCAGTGGAACTGATCTATAGGGTCTCCAACAAATGAGATCATAAACTAGGCCTATACGTATGCCCACTACATCAATTGGGACCTATCAAAGAATCTCCATAGATCAAGAGGCCATTACCATAGTTAATTCATGGATTATGGCTCATATTCTTTTAATGGGATTATCCCAAAGGGTGGTTACCTTGGTTGCTGGCTGCTGTGCTCAGTTGATCCATGCATTATTTATTTATTATAAACCGGGTGGTTCGAACCCTGAATGCTGATTGGCTGACAGCTGTGGTATATCAGACCGTGTACCACGAGTATGTCAAAACATTTATTTTTACTGCTCTAATTACGTTGTTAACCAGTTTATAATAGCAATAAGGCACCTCGGGTGTTTGTGGTATATGGCCAATATACCATGGCTAAGGGCTGTATCCAGGCACTCCGCGTCCGCGTTGCAAAAGAACAGCCCTTAGCAGTGGTATATTGGCCATATATCACACTACTTCATGCCTTATTGCTTAATGAGAGAACACCCTTCAAATACACTAGGCTTGTTGATCCTACCACATCCAATGTTATTACATGTACAGTTGTCACTTGTGATCAAATGTATACTTCCAATTACAAGAGTATTCCAAAAATTTACCAAGAACTCCATAGCTAGATTGTCTTTAGCGAGTGCTTTATGCCCAAACTATGTTTCTGAACATGATGGTTGACAAGCTTCATCACTCAAAGGCAATGCTCTATGGCAATAATGTCATTAACAAATGTACACTATGTGTAATGTTGTGTAATGGTTTGAATAACCTTGAGATAAGGATTCACTTTTGTGTGAAATGCACATGCTTACAGTATATTCACAAATCTTTGCCAGTCTCTGCACTCTCCAGAAAGGTTTTCTGAGTCATTTGATTCAAATGCGATGTTGGCAAAGGGATTCTTATGTGCTCCTGTAAGCAGATAAACTGAAAAACTTGTATTCTATCATAAAACCTTCTAGCAATGTTGGGTAATGAATGTGTTCCTTAATTATATCATTTCATATAATGTCAGCCTGAGACCAGGATCCTAACTAATTATCTTTATATGCAGCAACCACAATTTATCACAAATAATGAATTTGCGAATTACCCCAACATTATCGGTGGAAGGAAACACTTGCATAATGTGTTTATGATATATGAAGACATCTGTAACATAATCCTCAGGGAAAGTTGGCTTTTGCACGTGATTTGTTCTCTACCCATTCCTCCCCCCAACAAAGGTTTGGGGACTTGGTTTGATAGACTGTCAGTTCTAAATGTGCCTAGTGATGTAGTATGGAACAAAGAAGAGGGTTGATTAAGCTAAAGTTGTATTGTTAGTTCTGTCAAACTTTATAGCAGTAATCAGGGGCTGATGCAGACTGCAATTGTCTACTTTTGTCTTGAAGGCTTGTCTGACGTCTTTGAGACAAAACAAGAATATTGTATTGCATTTACAAATTGCCACTCTGTCTAACAGCTCATCTGTCATTATTTCAAGAGAAAGACAAGTAAAGTAGAGCAGTAAAGTTTGATTGAACTTTTAACGTGACTCTTCCTCCCTTTCATCAACCTCTTTCATCTATTTCCTCTCTACGCCTTAATTATAACTTTTGGTAACACTTTACTTAACGTCGACAGGTATAACGCATTATGCCACAGTTATAATGCAATGTAAGACTTGTCGTAGGCACTTATGAACCTCTTCTCATCATAATAACAGTTCTTTGCAGTCTGTTGACAAATTTCAGCAGAGAACACATAAACCTTGTATTAAGACATGATAAGCATCCATATATGCTTATAACAAGTACTAATGCTTATAGATTCAGTGGAGCTTGAGTCACATCTCCAGGGTCACCTTGGATTTGTTTGTATCCAAAAGCCCAGTGTCTATTTCCTAGGAAGGGGTAGGGAGAAGTGGGAGTTGAGTCCCTGCAAGGTGGTCATTTATCAGGCAGGGAGACGCAGGCTTTCTTACCACCGCCTGTGGTAAGACTAATGGCACAACAATATTTCCATGAAATCAAAACACTCTTATTGTGGTCCTCTGTAGCTCAATTGGTAGAGCATGGCGCTTGTAACGCCAGGGTAGTGCGTTCGATCCCCGGGACCACCCATAAGTAAAAATGCATGCACACATGACTGTAAGTCGCTTTGGATAAAAGCGTCTGCTAAATGGCATATTATTATTATTATTCATGTGCATTCTCTCATCACCATATAAATCAAAGCATAGTTTTGTTGCAATTGTTCCATAGTTTGAGAGCATTATATTCTTTGTCGAGGTGACATTCTCAATGTTTTATTTGTTATAATGGCTCTATATAGGTTCTAGGCACTTAGAGGACCACCTCCCAGTAATATGAACCACTCCAGTATTGATCAGGATAAAGTCCTGTTAACCTCTTAAGGATCGGACCCTTTTTTTCAATTTTCGCCTAAAATGACATACCCAAATCTAACTTGCAGGACCTGAAGCAAGGATATGCATATTCTTGATACCATTTAAAAGGAAACACTTTGAAGTTTGTTGAAATGTGAAATTAATGTAGGATAATATAACACAATAGATCTGGTAAAAGATAATACAAACAAAAAAACATGTGTTTTTTGGGGTTTTTTGTTCCATCATCTTTGAAATGCAAGATAAAGGCCACAATATAATATTGCAGTTTAGGCACAATTTAGATTTTGGCCACTAGATGGCAGCAGTGTGTGTGCAAAGTTTCAGATTGATCCAGTGAAGCATTGCAATACTCGACTACTTTATATCAAGTCTGCCCAAATGTGCCAAATTGGTCATTTCATACATTTTCAAGTACATAACTATAGAGAACATACAAAAATGATATGGTAATACAAAATGTAAGTTTACACACTCCCAGGAATGTCATATATGATGGATCATTAGCTTATACACTAACTTTCACACATCTAGATGGCCGGGTGGGGTGGGTGTGGAGCCAGAGACAGCAGGGGTTCAAACTGTAGAACCCAGTTCCTACATTTGAATATAAAAATGGATTTTATCAAACAAAACTATGCTACATTTTATCTCTGGGACCCTCAGGATGACAAATCAGAGCAAGATTACTGAATGTAAGTACATTATTTACCTTCAGAGGTGAATGTATCAAACCAGTTGCCGTGATAAGTTGTTGTGCACTCTCCTTAAACAATAGCATGGCATTTTTTCACTGTAATAGCTACTGTAAATTGGACAGTGCAGTTAGATTAACAAGAATTTAAGCTTTCTGCCCATATAAGACATGTCTATGTCCTGTAAAGTTTGCTTTTACTTACAACAGTCATGCTAATCACATTAGCGCACATTAGCTCAACCGTCCCGTATACGGGACACCGTACCCTTCCCCAGATCTGTGCCTCGACACAATACTGTCTCGGAGCTCTACAGACAATTCCTTTGACCTCATGGCTTGGTTTTTGCTCTGACATGCACTGTCAACTGTGGGACCTTGTATAGACAGGTGTGTGCCTTTCCAAATAATGTCCAATCAATTGAATTTAGCACAGGTGGACTCCAATCAAGTTGTAGAAACATCTCAAGGATGATCAATGGAAACAGGATGCACCTGAGCTGAATTTTGAGTCTCATAGCAAAGTGTCTGAATACTTATGTAAACAAGGCATTTCTGTTTATTTTTAATACATTTGCCAAAATTTCTAAAAACCTGTTTTCACTTTGTCATTATGGGGTATTGTGTGTAGATTGATGAGGATTAAAAAAAAAAAATCAATTTTAGAATAAGGCTGTAACATAACAAAATGTGGAAAAGTCAAGGGGTCTGAATACTTTCTGAAGGCACTGTAACGTCAAACATTCATGAAAAACAAAACAAAAATGAAAGCTTAAGGACTTTTACCCCTCCCTTCCCCAGTGTTTGTGCTACCTCAGTTTGCTATGAGACTTGGCTCAGTTTCACCAAGGGTCTCAATATCACATATAGCTTGACCTGGACTTCCTGTATAGCTTTGCACTATCCCTGACCGCTTCTCTCTCTCCCTCTTCAGGCATATTTTACCGCAAGTCCTGCGCCTCGTCCGGGGCATGCCTCATATCCTCGTCAGGCTACCAGCAGTTCTGCACTGGAAGGATCAACTCTGTGTGCATCTCCTGCTGTAACACACCGCTCTGCAATGGGCCACGGAAGAAGAACCGCCCGGTCCCGTCGGCCGCCACCTCTTCATTTTCCTCCCTTCTTTTTCTGCTGGTCTCCCTCACGCTGGTCTCCCTCTCTCTGACATAGACCTAGAGGCGTCCACTTGTCCCGTCCTCTACCTGAAGATAACACTAGAGTATTATGAGGCTACAAATAGGCTACAGTGTACATAACACTACGTAGTCTATAGGCTACATCAGACTCTAGTGTCGTCTTTGGAGAGGAATCCTATACATAAGAGACTATCACAGGAGGTTGGTAGAATGAGTGCAATGGTATCAAATACATCAAACACATGGTTTCCAGGTGTTTGATGGCATTCCATTTGTTCCGTTCCAGCCATTATTATGCACCGTTCTCCCCTCAGCAGCCTCCTGTGGACTCTACAGCGTCATCTTTAGATTGGATACTCAAGAGCTTAAGACTCTTTGGAAGGATCCCCTTTTATAATCCTGGTGTTTAGAGTTTTTGAGAACTGAATGCTTGCCATTTCCTCCTTCTTCTTCGTCCTTCCCTTGCCCTCCAATCACCCCTCGCTTACTCCGTAAGGTCCCTATTGAGGGCAGTGGGCACTGACCTCATCAACGTCGACATTCTCCTGTTTATAGGAAGATCGAACGCTTCAGATCAATACTCCCAATGATTAGGAGTCAGACGTGACCATAGTCAGTGAGTACTCAGCAACCGTTTAGCTATGAGAATTGTGTTAACTCATCATGGATCTTAGTGTAGAGATGGCACTGACAGCTGAGGACATTGAGCAGTGAGTTGTAGGGATTTTGGAGATATACTGAGATGTCTGCATCATTTACTACTGGTACAAGTTCTTGTTACAGTAAGTACTAAATGCTGGAGCTCATGTCTTATATCATTTGTAAGTACAGATGTGTGATCTTGATTTGACCAGTTTCTCACAGCAGGAAAATAATCCTACAGAAATGTGAATTATTGTGTTTATTATAATTAATGGACATTTTTGTAAGGTTGATACATCTTTAGTTAGGGCAAACCAAGTCCGACATTTTAAAGTGGAAATTACAAACTTTAGAAGCCTTTAAAAACCTTGACTACAACTACAAGTTTGCTTTTCCTGCTATGCAGGAAATTCCTTGCAACAACAGGGTGATCAAATTAAGATCCTACATCTGTATATACCCAATTACTTTCTTAAACTTCAAATATTGCTGAAAGGGAAATTTGTTTTTAAACTTATCAATTTAGACATTATATAAATCAACATATTCAATAACCTATTATTAGCTGTAGTCATTTACAGTATGATAATAATCTGTATCAACATCCAGTTCCAACTTCAAAAACCTTTTGGGGGTGTCATTCTTCAAGTATATTTTAAGTCATTCAACAGTCCTTATAGTATATTTCAGCTTTTTAGTTGTAGCGCTGATAATTTCACAATAAGGACATTTCAATGCAGGGATGCATATTATACCATTTTCTGTACAGACATTAGATATGTGGCTGTCATTGCGGCAAGGTCGGATATAAGTATTGGTTATTGTAGCTACCTGCTAAAACTGCTTAGAGGAGTTTTTAGTATCGCTGCTCATCTGGCATTATTTATGACGTTAGTATAATGCTCATTCAGCAGCATATGTCCTTTGCAACACATTGACTCACGGAAGTGGAAACAACTGCAAAACGATCAGCGATCTGGAATGCTCACCACGTGCAGCGTGTTGTGGAATGGATCACTTAGCTATAGGTGGATGGGCATAGTTGACGGATACATTTACTCAACAATGCATCATGTACAAATACTGCTCATACATTTATGTCTTACTGAAATCACATTCTCTCTTTTTCTATTGATGTTTCCTATCTGATTGATTGCCACTTGAATGTACCAGAGAGAGCATAAACACAACTATTTTGAATTGTCTAAAATGATCAACATAAAACATTGTAGTGACTGGGCAAAATGTTTCTGTTGACCCCTAAAACTGACGTCCCTCACTGAGTTTATATGACTACTGAATGTTGAAGTGACAATGTGGAGTTAATTTGGGAGGGAATTGTACAGACAAAGAGTAAAGGACAACAGTACAGTAGGACATTTTATTTATTTACGTTGGCTAGTGTTTCTTTCTTGGTTCTTGTGCCATGGGGTTTTGCCAGTTATGCTCAGTATTAGCTTAACAGTCACCTACTTTGTCTTTCTTATCAGCTGGGTCTATTGTCAATTGATTATTTATTTATTCTTCTGAAAAGGCAGCACAGAGACTGAAGGGAAGACCATTCTTTTTAAAATACAGCATTTATGAAATGTCAATAGATTTCAGAAACATATCTAATAACTTACTCTCATTATCCATTGGCCATTATAATTATTGAAAGGCTTTGTAAAGAGGATAATGTAAGAATTATATCATAATTAATCTTTCAAATTAAAGATAATGATAAATAAAATTAAACGATAGTGATAATGATATAGCTTTTTTTTCTCCTTCTGATTTGATGTTTATCTTGAACATGTAAGGCATTAAACGAACAGGTAGACAAATTCAACAGAATTTGGGGATTATGGGTAAAAAAAAATGATGGTCTACCTTTATTGGTCTTCTGTGAAGAGTGATTGTATATTCTGCCCATGTGAAATTCAAATAAAGAGTTGTGACAAAAAACAGTGCATCTGAAACAGCTGAATCACCATTCTGTTTTCAATTGACCTAAATATGTAATAGACAAATAAAATATTTATAATAAGATTTTTTATTTTATTTTTCTCAAAAGCAGTTTAATGACCTCAGGAGTCTTAAAATGGCAACCCTTTTTGTTGGGGAGTTGAGGCTTGTCTGTAAGTGAGACATGGGTCTAGTTAGGTCAGCCCCACACTGGGAGCGAGAGATGGAGGAAGGGAGTGAGGCAGAGAGGGATGCCCGACACAGCCGTGCCTCACGTTTAAATGACAGACCCAGGGTGCCGGAGGCTATGAAATATCCTGTCTCGGAGCCTAGCTTGAAATTTCAGTGACCTCCAGTGGCTAGGGTTTATCTTATTATTCACCACCAGGTACTTACTATGTGGACCTTGCTCAACTTATTCCACCATCTGGAAAATGGAAATCACAGGGAGATGTCCCTGCATTTCATATTTCTATAACTTCCACACAGCTAGATGTAGGCTAAGGCAGAAAGGAAAATATTGAAGGGGTTTCATCGATAAATGTTGACATCTAAGTGAACAAAGCACCCACCCACGCACCTGTTTTCTTATAATTCTGCCACTCTCAATTTCCAATGAACACCAACTGTTGTAATTTCATTATTACAAAATATACTAATGCAAAAGTTTGCGTTATCAGGTTTCTCTAATGACAACTATAATTGCGTTGGAATATGACAACCCATTCGTGACCACTATTAACCATGTCTCCAGAACACTCTCACTGTTTCGCTGTCTAGCCTTGTACAAACTAGTATGACCATTATAATGTCTGTTCATTTAATAATAATAATTCAAAGATGCTACATTTCCAACCACAGTAGGTGAGGGACTAAATTAATTGTACCGTATATTGCTACTTTCTGCCCACCACTTTGCGTACCACACTACCATACACTTCACATTGTCACCACCTTCAATTATCATGCTATGAAAGGCAATAAGGAGTTAGGTGCAGAGACCAATGATAACCAAGCTGCTTCTTGCCATTCATTCAAGCATACACATAAAAGTACACGTTTCAGTGCAGTCAGTGATGAACAAGCAGGTGCTAACAAGCACAATGATAATTTGCTTCAGGCAGGAAAGAAGGTGGAGGATGGTGCAGTATGTGGGTTTCTCCATGGTATAAGAAACTACTGATTAAACCTTTGACGGTGATACTGCTCACATCCGTGTACTAGAGAGGTCAGCTGTGTCAGGGTCGTCCCCTGCCTTTTTGGTGTGTTCAGTGACAAACAACCCAGTGCTGTTGTAATGTAGGCAGTGGGCAAGTCTTACACAATAGTATTTCCTTTACATAGCACTGTTTTTGCCATTTAGAGGCAACACAGACGGATGTGGCTCTAAGCAATGGAGTGACATGCTATCAGACGTCTTCAAATATACCTTGATGGAGCATTTCAACACATTGCAAGTGCAACATACAGTGCCTTCGGAAAGTATTCAGACCCCTTTACTTTTTCCACATTTTGTTAGGTTACAGCCTTATTTTAAAATTGATTAATTTGTTTATTTCCCCCTCATCAATCTACACACAATACCCCATAATGACAAAGCAAAAACTGGTTATACAAAAAAACGGAAATATCACATTTACATAAGTATTCAGACCCTTTACTCAGTACTTTGTTGAAGCACCTTTGGCAGCGATTACAGCCTCGAGTCTTCTTGGGTATGACGGTACAAGCTTGGCACACCTGTATTTGGGGAGTTTCTCCCATTCTTCTCTGCAGATCCTCTCAAGCTCTGCCAGGTTGGATGGGGAGCGTTGGTGCACAGCTATTTTCAGGTCTCTCCAGAGATGTTCGATCACGTTCAAATCCAGGCTCTGGCTGGGCCACTCAAGGACATTTAGAGACTTGTCCCGAAGCCACTCCTGCGTTGTCTTGGCTGTGTGCTTAGGGTCATTGTCCTGTTGGAAGGTGAACCTTCGCCCCCAGTCTAAGGTCCTGAGCGCTCTGGAGCACGTTTTCATCAAGGAACTTTCTGTACTTTGCTCCGTTCATCTTTGCCTCGATCCTGACTAGTCTCCCAGTCCCTGCCGCTGAAAAACATCCCCACAGCATGATGCTGCCACCACTATGTTTCACTGTAGGGATGGTGGCAGGTTTCCTCCAGATGTGATGCTTGGCATTCAGGCTAAAGAGTTAAATCTTGGTTACATCAGACCAGAGAATCTGGTTTCTCATGTTCTGAAGGTTTTTAGTTGCCTTTTGGCAAACTCCAAGCAGGCTGTCATGTGCCTTTTACTGAGCAATGGCTTCCGTCTGGCCACTCTAGCATAAAGGCCTGATTGGTGGAGTGCTGCAGAGATGGTTGTCCTTCTGGAAGGTTCTCCCATATCCGCAGAGGGACCATCAGGTTCTTGGTTACCTCCCTTACCAAGGCCCTTCTCCCCCGATTGCTCAGTTTGGCTGGGCGGCCAGCTCTAGGAAGAGTCTTAGTGGTTCCAAACTTCTTCTATTTAAGAATGATGGAGGCCACTGTGTTCTTGGGGACCTTGAATGCTGCAGAAATTTTTTGGTACCCTTCCCCAGATCTGTGCCTCGACACAATCCTGTCTCGGAGCTCTACGGACAATTCCTTCAACCTCATGGCTTGGTTTTTGC